TAAATGGTACAAAATCCCTGTCGGTTGCTGCAGATGGCGCTTTGTACCCTCCTCTACCCCTATTAAAAACAGATTGAAATTTTGTTGGTTGAACCAAACACGCCCTTGGACATGTCAAAAGACACAAGGCAACCCACATTGCAGAAGGATCTTCGCAAACGAGATCATCCTTCCCCATGCGAGCACAGCAGCGTCCCATTGCCTAGTGCAATGCGCTCACTCAATGTGCTATTCCCATATTCAAGCCAAAGAGCCAAGACATGCCTCAGTGGTACCGTTGCTCTGCAGTAGCATTTTCACGCCGCCGTCCCCTGCAAGAGGACGAGCAGGACGAACAAAAGTCGCCCTCCGGTAAATTAAAATTACGGATGTCTTCTTGGCCATCGCAGTCGGCCACTTTGGAGTTGTATCGACCATCGTGGAGAGGCCGACCTGCCTCGTCGAGAAAGGTTCCAGAAGCACGCCTTCACAACCTTTCTCCTCGGACTGTACACCCGTCTCGCCCGGGCCGGTGCAGATGGTCCAATAAGCTTAATCAATTCTGCCCAGATAAGGCCTTGGTCGAATGCCTGGGTAAATTCGGCCGCCATTTGCTCGCCATGCCCTGGTCGACCTTCTGTCGTCCTTCCCGACCTGGCATCGCTTCCGATAGCGCCCCCCGCATACCACCCCGGTCGCCTCTCTTCCTCCCCGTCTAAACTGGGCTCTGATCTCTGGGTCCCGAACATCGTCAATTTGGACGAAGGATACCATACCATCCACTATGCGATGGACAAAGTGCATATATACCATGGCGCTTCCTCGTCATCCGCCTGCTCAAGACCTACGAGTGTAGCGCCGAGACGATCCCGCAGCCGTCAGTCTACTTCGCAGCTGCTTCGCTCTCAGACGGTGGTCTCCCCTCTCAATCTTTGACTTTCTTTCTCTGCCACAAGTAAGAAAGCCATCATTCATCATGGTTCGTCTTGGTTTGGCCACGACGCTCCTGGCGGCTGCGTCTTTCGCTCAAGCCGCCCACCTCAAGGCCCCCAACGTCGTCCCTGGTGCCTATATCGTCGAGTATGAGGATAGCCATGTAAGTTGAAGATACACTCAAGAGCCAGGAATGCCTTATACTAACCACATATGCTTAACAGGATCCCACCTCTATCCTCAACTCCATCAAGGGCGATGCCACCATCCGCAAGGATATTCGCCATGAGCTCTTCAAGGGTGCTTCCTTCCAGTTCAAGGACCTCGACAAGGCTGACGACCTCGCCAGCAAGGTTGCTGCCATGTCTGGTGTCAAGGCCATGTACCCTGTCCGCCGCTACTCCGTCCCCGAGGTCACCGTTCACTACACTGGCAGCGCCGTCCAGGAGGTTGTCGCCAAGCGTGACACTGGCAAGGACACCTTCACTCCCCACTTGATGACCCAGGTCAACAAGTTCAGGGATTCCGGTGTTACTGGCAAGGGCATCAAGGTCGGCGTCATCGACACTGGTATCGACTACCTTCACCCTGCCCTCGGTGGCTGCTTCGGCCCCGGCTGCTTGGTCTCCTACGGTACTGATTTGGTCGGTGACGACTTCAACGGCGCCAACACTCCCGTCCCTGATTCCGACCCCATCGACAACTGCCAGGGTCACGGTTCCCACGTCGCTGGTATCATTGCTGCCCAGACCAACAACCCCTATGGCATCATCGGTGCGGCTTCCGATGTGACCCTCGGTGCTTACCGTGTGTTCGGTTGCTCTGGTGATGTCGGTAACGATATCCTCATCGAGGCTTACCTCAAGGCCTACGATGATGGCAGTGACATCATTACTGCCTCCATCGGTGGTGCCTCTGGTTGGCCCGAGGACTCTTGGGCTGCCGTCGTCAGCAGGATCGTCGAGAAGGGTGTTCCCTGCCTTGTCTCTGCTGGTAACGATGGTGATCACGGTATCTTCTACGCTTCTACTGCCGCCAACGGCAAGAAGGTTACTGCTGTCGCCTCTGTCGATAACATCATTGCCCCTGCTCTTCTCAGCGAGGCCACTTACTCTGTCGCCAACGGCTCCCTTTCGACCTTTGGCTTCACCGCCGGTACCCCCAGCGCCTGGGCCAATGTCAGCCTGCCTGTCTGGTCTGTCAACTTCAACACTGCCGATGCTGCCAACGGCTGCGAGGCTTTCCCCGATGACACCCCTGACCTCTCCAAGTACATTGTTCTCATCCGCCGTGGTACCTGCACCTTCGTCCAGAAGGCTCAGAACGCTGCCGCTAAGGGAGCCAAGTATATCATCTACTACAACAACGCCTCTGGATCTACCAAGGTCGACGTCAGCGCCGTTGCGGGTGTCCAGGCTGCTGCTATGGTCACTTCCGAGACCGGTGCCGCTTGGATCAAGGCCCTCCAGGCTGGCTCTAAGGTCATTGTCAACATGGCTGACCCTGAGACCGCCCCCAAGAACCTCAACAACTTCCCCAACACCGCTACCCCTGGCTTCCTCAGTACCTACACCTCCTGGGGCCCTACCTATGAGGTTGATGTCAAGCCCCAGATCTCTGCTCCCGGCGGTATGATTCTTTCCACCTACCCCCGTGCTCTCGGCTCGTATGCTGTCCTTTCCGGTACTTCCATGGCCTGCCCTCTCGCTGCTGCCACCTGGGCCCTTGTCATGCAGAAGCGTGGCACCAAGGACCCCAAGGTCCTTGAGAACCTCTTCGCTGCCACTGCCCACCCTAACCTCTTCAACGATGGTGCCAAGAACTATTCCATGCTTGCCCCCGTTGCCCAGCAGGGTGCTGGTCTGATCCAGGCCTGGGATGCTGCCAACGCCAACGCCCTCCTCGGCGTCTCCAGCATCTCCTTCAACGACACCGAGCACATCAAGCCCCTCCAGAGCTTCGAGGTTACCAACACTGGCAAGAAGGCCGTCACCTACCAGCTCGGCCACACCAGCGCTGCTACCGCCTACACCTTCGCCGACGCCACCTCCATTGACCCCGCCGCCTTCCCCAACGAGCTCACCGACGCCAAGGCCACCCTCGTCCTCACCCCCGCCAAGCTCACCCTTAACCCGGGCCAGAAGAAGACCGTCACCGTCCTTGCCATCCCCCCCCTGGGTCTCGATGCCAAGCGCCTACCCGTCTACTCCGGCTACATCACCCTGAACGGCACCGACTCCACCGGCTACTCGCTCCCCTACCAGGGCGTCGTCGGCAGCATGCGCTCCGTCACCGTTCTCGACAAGGAGAACAGCTACCTCAGCCAGTCCAGCGACGCCACCCTGGCTCCCGTCGCCGCCGGCACCACTTTCACCCTCCCGCCCGCCGGCAAGGCCAACGAGACCCAGTACGCCAACACCGTCTACCCGACCGTCGTGCTCACCCTCGCCATGGGCTCCGCCGAGGTCCGCGCCGACGTTGTCAACGCCAAGGGCAAGACCATCGGCCAGGTCCTCACCTTCCCCGCCTACTGGAACGCCCGCGGCACGTTCGAGTGGAACTGGGATGGTGCTCTGTCCGATGGCTCGTACGCCCCTGCTGACACTTACACGATCACGCTTAAGGCGCTCAAGATCTATGGTAACAGCAAGAAGCCTCAGGACTGGGAGACTCAGACTACCGAGTCGTTCACTATTAAGTATGCTTCTAAGATCAAGCGTGTTTTTAGTGCTTAATTTGAGGCAGATATATGATACCCCGGAGCGGAGCGAGATAGGGGGGTTGGATTGGATATGAAATGATGGAATGCATATGATGTGGATGTTTTTATGATGAAAGTTAAATTTCTTGTATGATATTATGTAATACCTACAATGGACATAATAATGAACGGGCTTTGGCCTGATGCAAACTTGGTGCATGCTGCTGGTGTGATCGTTGTAGCTCTTAACTTTCTGGTCATTGACTCTTCAGCAGCTTTTACATGTTTTGAAGAGTCTCTATTAAACCTCACCTTTAGTAACACTCATCTCTTCATATCCTTATCTCGCCAACAGAATTTCAATAGTCAGCAGTCATCCGATGCCGTCATCCCAACATCGGCATCCCTCCATCCAAAATTAACGGACCCATGTCTATTTTGTCCAAAGGGATGAGATGAAATGGACCCGATCTGCCGACCTGAACAATTGCGGGACGCCCCGCAAAATGCGATGCGATGCGGTGCCAGCGGTGCGGTGCGGGCGGTGTAGCGGGACGACCCACTGAGCTGAATGACAGTGAATCTGGCAGTGCAGCGAGCATGGCATGGCATTTGATTGCTGCGCCTGGCTGTCATCCCGCATTTTCTCCTGAATGTCCATCTTCCCCTTTCCTGGACTGTGATGGGATTCCTATCTTTCAGCTCTGCACAAATACCCGACGGCGCGGTGCGTTGCTTTCGCAGGTGGATGCTTGTTACCTCCGCGGGCCTGGAAATAAAAAAAGAGTGATGAGTTGTATGCAGATCACCGTGATTTCGAGATGGGGTTTTAAAAGGCCTCCTTCGTTTTCAGTTGTGATTAGTTGGGTAGCGAAGACTAAAAATGAGAGCTGAACTTGTGAAACCAATGAGCCTTTCACTAGTGTAGTTTCGGGACTTTCAGCTGCCATGATGTCATCGCTACTCACATTCCCCAGAAACCCCTAAATCCAGTGGATGAGAATCGATTGTTGGCCGTCCGCCCTAAGCCCTTCTTGTAGCTCGGAATCTTTTCGATGATCACCCATTCGACATTCTGCCATTGCCGTGATCGATCGTCATCGAGGAATTGACTGCCGTGCCTTGCCAAGAGCTCCAATACAAGGGTTCCCTCCACCCTAGCTTTCGTCAGTTTTCAGCTGACTTTGAATACTCGGGAACATAACCGGTTATAAGCCTCCCCCTGATCGATCATTCATCCAAGACAGGAACAAAGAAACCTTAAAAGAAGCTTCCTCCCCACTTTACAAACCGGACTTCACGATCCAACACCATCGAAATACTTTACCTTGACTTGCTTAACGGGAGAAGGGCATTAATTGCACACCCGTCCAAGCGGCCATTCAACATGACCGCCTCAACCGACTCTCCGAGAGGTCCTCTTCACCACGAGGCCGCCAACTCTCACCACAACCACGGCCACAATCACAACGACAACAACACCACCGAAACCGACGAAACCCCCACCCAACACTCAAACGAAACCAAAATACCCCTCCGAATCGCCGTCCTCCTCAACTCCTACCGCTCCCCACACATCTCCAACATCCGCGACTCCTACACCCGCTGCTTCACCTCCTTAACCCAATCGCCCACCTGCCGCTTCGAACCAAAACTCTCCTTCTTCTACCCAGCCGACAACTTTTACTGCTGTCCCCAGGGTCCTCATAACGACCGGGACGGATGCAACGAGGGGGCTGACTCAGATGCCTCTTTGTCGTCGGATTGTTCGAATGGACTTGGGCGGTCTTCGGACTCTGAGAGTGATGTCCCGGGGTCGGGGTCTGGATCTGGAACAAGGGCTAGGGCTAGCAGCAGTAGGATGAAAGAGTTCCTGCCTGATCCGGCGGAGTTTGACCTGATTGTTATTGGAGGGGGAAATGCCGATCCGACGAAGAGGCACGCGTGGATATTGAGGGTGCATGAGTTCATACGGCAGACGAGAAAGGAATGGCCGAGGAAGAAGATGGTGGGGGTTTGTTGGGGACATCAGACGCTGGGGATGGTGGTGGGAGGGGGGGAGGTGGGGGAGATGGGGATGCCTGAGGTTGGTTTTTATCCCTTTCCTCCTCGTATAAGAGTGAAGCATGAGGGGAAGTGATGCTAACATGTGACGGTAAACAGCTAGGAGTAACAGACTCAAAACTCACCTCCGCCGGGTTGCGGTTCTTCAATGACCGAGGACTACCATCAACAGCAGGAGAAAAAGGAGGGAAGGAAAAGAGCTCGCTAAGACTTCATCAACATCACCGCCGACAGCTTGTCTCTACACCACCCAACTTTCACCAATTACTCGCCAACAATGAATGTCTTCTCTCAGACGATAACAGTGTCTTGACGTTTCAAGGACATCCGGAGAAGGACGCGAAGGCGGCGAAACTAAAGATTAGAGACGCGGCAAGATGGTGGGGCTGGGATTTGAATGAACAGAAAGTGGTGGAAGAGGTGAAGGGGTTGATGGAGAGGGAACATGATGGGAATCGGGTGTGGGAGAGGGTGCTAGAGTGGGTTTGGGAGGGGGAGGAGGGGAGGGAGTTGGAGTGGAAGCTGTGATTTATATGATGCCTTGGGGTTCGGTGCATTTGGGGTTACATGAGCATGGCGGTTGGTGTGCTGGATGCATCAGTCGCGAGCGATTGTTTTGATGATGGATTTGCATTTGCGCACTGCAGGCGTCAATCATTGGGAGGAGATACCAAATTGTTTAGGTAAACACAACAGCCAAAGGCGTGAGGGAATCGAATTGAAGTCTTCTACGTTCTGTGTTTTGAAATTAGCATATGACCCGACTGTCGGCCAGTGCAGGGTTGTAATGCGACGATTCACGATGGTTGATGACTGTTCGCCGAATGTAACGGGAGGGCCCGGCGACAACCGGTCGGGTCGGGGACGGAATGTGCACCGCAGTGACCCCACAACGCCGGTGCCTGGATCGTCGCTCGGACAATGAAAAATCCGTCTGTGCGTCCGGGCAGGGCCGGCTTTTTCGGGACTGGACCTGAGACCGGGTGGCCGCTGCCTGGACCGCTGCCTGATGGGTGCCTGCAATGTTCCAGACCTGTTCTCGATCCGAGACGTTCGCATGTTTCAGTGAAGGGCATCAGCGTCGCCCACCCATCCGTCGGGTTTGCGACCGTGCAAGTCTCGGCGTGCAGGTCGCTGCCCGCAATAGTGGTCTGTGCGCGGTGCCAGGGAACCTTATCGGTCGCCGCTGGAGCCCCTCCATTCTCCATTCCCAATTTTTTTTTCTTCCCGCTGCAACACGCGGGCGACAGCGACACCAAACTTTGAGTGACTTGACGACATCCCTTTTTCCATCCGTTGCCTGTCCATACTCTTTACTCTCTTCGTTTCCTTATTCCAGTATCGATCCCATCGAGTGGCCCGTCAATCCACCGTCTGTCCCTCCTTTTGTCGTCATTAACGCATTCCCATCATCGCCCAAGATGAAGTTCGTTCTGGTGTCAGGAGGTATGTAAACAATAGACAATAAACAAATAATAATCCCATATGAACACATCTCTAACTTGTCTGCGTCTCCAGGTGTTGTGAGTGGAGTTGGCAAGGGAATTATTGGTAGGCAGTCTTCCTCTTCTCAACATTCTGATGATGAACAACCACCACAACAATCCTCAATCTCACTCATACGTATCGAGTCACTCGACATGGATGCATGCCAAGTAAAAATCATGAAAACTGGCCTGTGTCTGTGACACCATCTCAACATCCTCTCAAGGATGCACACGATGAACAAGCCTTGTATAATACACCTCACTCACAGGCCTGGTTTACTAACACTCACATATCACAGCCTCATCATGCGGTCTCCTTCTCAAGACCCTCGGCCTCAAGGTCACTGCCATCAAGATTGACCCCTACATCAACGTTGATGCCGGTACCATGAACCCCAAGGAGCACGGCGAGTGCTTCGTCCTTCATGACGGTGGCGAGACCGATCTGGATCTCGGCAACTACGAGCGTTACCTCGGTGTCGACCTTGCCCGCGACAACAACATCACCACCGGCAAGGTCTACCAGCAGGTTATCGAGAACGAGCGCAAGGGCAAGTACCTTGGCCGCACTGTCCAGGTTGTACCCCACGTTATCGACGCGATCATCGACACCATCAACCGTGTCTCCAAGGTACCTGTCGACAAGTCTGGCGAGGAGCCCGATGTCTGCATCATCGAGTTGGTATGTTTGATCACTATCATCATCAGTCATGGCATGCGTTTGCTAACGTTCATAGGGTGGTACTGTCGGTGATATTGAGAGCATGCCTTTCGTCGAGGCCCTCACTCAGCTCCGTCACAGAGCTGGCAAGAACAACTTCATCAATATCCACGTCTCCTATGTCCCCGTCGTCAACGGCGAGCAGAAGACGAAGCCTACCCAACACGCTGTCAAGAGCGTCAGGAGTGCTGGTCTCATTCCCGACTTGGTCAGCATCATTGTCAATCATCTTGTGATTTCTCTTGCTAACTCATTGTACAGATTGCGTGCCGTTGTGAGAAGCCCCTTGAGAAGGGTACCATCAACAAGGTCGCTTCCAGCTGCCAGGTCGAGGTCAACCAGGTCCTTGCCGTCCGCGATATGCCCACCATCTACCAGGTTCCTCTTCTCCTTGAGGAGCAGGGCCTGCTCAGGGAACTTAAGGAGACCCTGAAGCTCGACGACGTCAAGCTCTCCCCCACCCGTGTCACCCAGGGCCAGGAGGTCTGGGCCAAGTGGCAGAAGATTGTCCCCCTCGGTTACGCCGAGACCGTCGATATTGTCTTGGTCGGCAAGTACATTGAGCTTCACGATGCCTACCTTTCCGTCATCAAGGCTCTTGAGCACTCCGCCATGCGCTGCGGCCGCAAGCTCAACCTCATCTGGGTTGATTCTGAGCACCTCGAGGAGAAGACCCAGAAGGAGGATCCCACCAAGTACCACAAGGCTTGGCACGACGTTTGCGTTGCCAAGGGTATTCTCGTCCCTGGCGGCTTCGGTCACCGTGGTACCGAGGGTATGATCCGTGCCGCCCAGTGGGCTCGTGAGCAAAAGACCCCCTTCCTCGGTGTCTGCCTTGGTATGCAGGTTGCCGTCATCGAGGCTGCCCGCAACCTCTGCGAGCTCAAGGATGCCACTTCTGAGGAGTTCGACGCCAACGCCGAGCACCGCGTCATCATCTTCATGCCCGAGGGTTCCAAGGAGAAGCTTGGCGGTACCATGCGTCTCGGTACCCGTACTACTCACTTCCAGCCCGGCTCTGAGTTCAGCAAGCTCCGCGCTCTCTACGGCGAGGCCACCACCATCGAGGAGCGTCACCGTCACCGTTATGAGGTCAACCCCGATTACATCGAGAAGCTCGAGCAGTCTGGCCTCATCTTCATCGGCAAGGACGACACCGGCGAGCGCATGGAGGTTGTCGAGATCAAGGACCACCCTTACTACGTCGGTGTCCAGTACCACCCCGAGTACACCAGCCGTGTCCTCGACCCCTCCCGCCCCTTCCTCGGCTTCGTTGCCGCCGCCATTGGCTGCCTCGACCAGATCACCAACGAGATCCTCAAGGATGCCGGCGTTGTCAACGGGAGTACCCACTTCTAAACTTTCGAAGAAGGAAGGCGAGGGTCGCACGATGACGATGCATAAGAGTCGCCCGCAACGAAGGGCACGGGTGCAATTCAAGAGGAGGACTACTGTGACAGCCGCCGTTTCCGAGGCTAGTCACACCCAGGGTCAGCAGCGCATCCTTCGGTTCGACAACAACATCAACAACTTTGGTTACCGCTCAAGACCGTCCCCTCTGATGAAATGAACATGAGCATTGGACACAGCAGCAGCAGCAGCGCAGTGCAAAATTCGGAAAAAGGAAAAGCTTTCAAAAGGGCATGAATGACTGGTTTACGGAAAAGATATTTTTGGGGGGTGATTGCATTTCAATCAGCTTTGGGAACATGGCGTTATTTGCTTCATCGTTTTACAGTAACTTGCTAGATTAGTAGATGGTGCATTTTTACTACTACTACACATATATACCCCTTCATAATAGGTACTTGGCAATATCTCTGGTGAGCATCTACTCCTCTCATTCACTCTCTATAGGGAATCTCTCGCTAATTTTTTTTCTAGGCTTCATCGCTCTGCGAACTGCGAACGTCCACTCCTGGTTCAGGGGTTGAGGTGGAACCGTGAAGTTTAGTGGCGACCTTGGAGGTTTTGGGACGTTGGACACGCACTCCACCAGAACCTCTGTTTCAAACTACCATTACCAGGGAGATTTTGTTTGCATTTCTGGCTTCTTCTCTCCTGGATATGGTAAACATCTGTTTGCATGGGGTTTTATAGACTTGGGGTTACATCAACAATTGCATAGAAAGGGGTTCTGGCGTTTTCTGTTTCTAGACAAGACACACCCTCAGCGAGATGCAATGATAGAACATGCTTATGACAATAGCTACTAGACAGGTATTAGTACCCGACTAGTGTTATGATGAACGGTTCGTAAGGCAATACTTCTGGATGCACAGCCTGGTATTCTAAGTGACAACTTACTATTGCTACCTCATGAACAGAAAGCAAGTCAACCTCTTCCAGTGTCTCGACGCCCCATCTTCCCTGATGACATCAACTGAAACCAAACTCTCATGAAATATTGGTCAGAAGTCAAGTGTCTTCAAGCCCCATTAAGTGACTTTGACGAAGTTTCGAACAAAGTCACGACAAAAACATCCACCTAACACTCCAGCCAAGGAAGTGATCTCAAGGACTTTGTTCACAATCTCATAAATATATCCTCTTTTGACTTGAGCCCCCTTTCCCAAATTCCCCTTTCCCAAATTCCCCTTTCCCAAATTCCCCTTTCCCAAATTCCCCTTTGCCTCATTTACACTCCCAAGTCCCCAAAGTCCCAATTCAGGCCCCAAAAGCCTCCTCATACCCCGTCAAACAAAACCGATACCTCCCTCCACTCCCCTTCATCCGCTCCATAACCCCCTTCAAATTCCTCTCATTAATCTTAACCTCCTCCACCCACGTCCTGACCCCCTTGCTCGCAGCCAACTCCAACATCTCCAACGTCTCTTTGCGGCTCCCCAAATGACTACTCCCAAAAAAACACCCATTCTTCAAGAAAGTCTGATTCCGCACCCTAATCCCCTCCTCATCCTCCGGTAACCCCACACTCACCCACTTCCCATGCACATCCAACAGAGCCAAATACGCATCCACATCGAACCCCTCAAAGGAGTTCGCGGTGTTGATGATCAGGTCAAAAGTCATGATGTGCTCTTGGTTCCAATTGGGGCCGTCGGATGTCGCCAAAAAGCCGTCGGCGCCCATTTTCAGGGCGTCGGCTTCTTTGGAGTGCGTGCGTGAGATTACGTAGACTTCGGCGCCCAGGGCTTTGGCGAAGAGGAGACCCAGGTGCCCGATGCCGCCGAGGCCGACGATGCCGACTTTCTTGCCGGGGCCGCAGCCGTTGCGGACGAGTGGGGAGTAGGCGGTTAAGCCGGCGCAGAGCATGGGGGCGGCGATTGTGGAGGGGAGGGAGGAGGGGATTGGGAAGACCCTGGCGTTGAGATGAGGTGTTAGTTGGGGGAAATTGAAAGAGGGGGAAGCGGGATGGAAGGGGAAAGGGGGGAGGGATAGGAGAGGGGAAAGGGGAAAGAAAGGAGGGGAAAAAGAAGACGAAGACGAACCAGTGCTCGTGGGTGCGAACGTGGGAGGAATAACCGCCCTGGCTGACGATGCCGGTATCAGGCCACACGGCACCGTACGTGTCTAGTTGCTTGCGGCAGTAGGTCTCGTTGTCGTTCTTGCACTGGCGGCAGTCGAGGCAGGAGTAGGACTGGGCGCCGACGCCGACGCGTTGGCCGGGCTTGATGAGAGTCACCTTGGGACCGACGCGGAGGGCGGTTCCGACGATTTCTAAAAACAGGGTTATCAGTCAGTCAGTCAGTCAGTCAGTCAGTCAGTCAGTCAGTCAGTCAGTCACTGCAGTCATGGGGTTCACTGACTACAGCTGTAGCTAGCTGAAGGAAGGAGAGAGATAGACAGGAAGATATATATGTAGGGGCAAAGCCATACATACCGTGTCCAACAGCAAGAGGAAACTTTTGCTCGCCCCAACCACCACTGATGGTGTGGACATCGCTACCGCAAACACCACAGCACTCGATCTTGATATCGACGTCGTAGTCACCGAAGGGCTTGGGTTGGAACTCGTTCTTGTGGAACTCGGTCCAGGTCTCGGGGCCGTTGACCTGGAAGCCGGTGAACTTTTCGGGGACAGACATTTTGAAGGTATATCTAAACAAGAATGACAGGAAACGACAAGTGACGACGTATGCAGGGAACAAGCAAACACAACCAGGAGGACTACACGATGGGGTCCTCGAGTAGTTATAAGTACTGACGGAACACGCTTCGGAAGATCAACACAATGCCAACGGTCAAACGGAACCAAGCACGTTCGGACTGTTTCCCCCACTGCTGGCTTGCTTATATTTTCCCTCTTGCTTGACACTTCGGAAATCTTTTGCCCATGAGGAGGGGCAATCCGTCACTCTTTACCCATTTTCTGGGTGGTATCGCGGGATTCTTACCCACTCTGGCGGATCCATCACACTTCTTTGGCATGCAGCGTTGGAGAGAAGCTCAATCGTATCAAAGGAGAAACATGGTGAATGCTTCTCCCCCCGCCATGCCCCGCGATAGGTACGGGTAAAAGTGTCGTTTCTGGGGAAGATGTTGTCAGAATGCACGGTTGAATCAAATGTGGGTAAATCTCTGTATTGATGTGTGTGTAGAAGAGTGCTGTGGAACCAGAGTTGGGGGCTCCCAGAGTATTAGGGAGGTTTGCAGCCAGATTCTGGGTGGTTGGGAGGCTAGTCCTTATTCAGAGCCCCCTTCTTACTAGCTGGATTTAACCTCCCAAACTGATATACATCCCCAATTGAAATCGTATAGAGATAAAAGTACCTAGAAATAAAGCTATTCATAGTATTATATAACTATCCTAGTATTTATCTCTTTATTAATCTTATCCATTTCGATGTATACTATTATATTCTCCCGTCTTTTCAATTCCCCATCCTTTACTAAATCCATCCCTACTAGCTTTATAAACGCTATATACTTCTAAAAGTCTAATACTTTTGTTAAACCGTTTATAAGCATTTTAGCCGTCTCCAAATATTTAATTTTTATCCTTCGAATAAATACTTCTTATTTTACTTAGTATCTATAGATATCTATATATATATATAAGTTTTATTACTAATTTCATGATTTCTACGGTTAAGACCTTAATAATTTATTAATTATTATAACTTAAGGTAGGGATAGGATTAATTAACCTTACTATAAAATTAATAATAAATTTTATTATAAAAAAGGTTTCCTTAACTATATTAGTAAGTATAATAAGTTCTGCCTCGGTTGTAAAGGTAGCTATAAATACCTATTTAGTAGTATCCTAATAAATTAAACTTCTAAAGAATTATATTATAAATCCTTAAAACTTTTATAATTTATAAAATTGTTTACAAATAATAAATTTAAAGCAATCCGAAGTACTTTATTACTTTTATAGTAGAATACTATATTAGCGATAATATAGAAATAGTAGAGTACCTTATTTATAGCCTTATAATAATTTAAACTAGGGTTGTAATTATATTTAGAGAGATAATTAGCGGCGAAAATAATATTCAAACATATAATAATAGCGGTATATAATATCGAACCTATTTTAATTTAATATAGGTAAATTAAATGAAGGGAAGCTTTACTTTAAAAGGAATTAATTCGACGTTAATATAAGGATTGAGGTAATGCGTTTAGTGTTTATAAAGTAATAGATTTTTTATAAATACGAGCGTTAAAATAGTTAGATCTTTCCTATTTTATAATTTCGAATAATTTCGGTACCTAAAAATTATTATAATTCGTTTCCTCTAATTATATAGTATTATTAACTGAGGTTATTTATATATCCCTATATAACGGTAGTTTTATTAGAATAATATACAAAAACTATATTATCGATATAATAGAAAATAAAGATGTCATCATTAATGATTTGAGGTAGTATGCCTTATGATTCTTGCGCTGATTCTTTTTACGATTTTTCTACAATACATTTTATTCAGGAGCATAGTTACAAGACTAAAAGGAACTAATCAGCTAACATTAATCAGGGATCATAAGAAAGATTGGGAGATTGACAGATAGCTAATCGTATAGATTGTCTAAATAGCTAATCACTTATCTATAATTAATAAATAAAATTCAATAAGCTATTAATAGAAAAAGAAGACTAATAGAAGAAGAATAGAAGGATAGGAGGATAATAAAAAGGAAAGGGATTAATACTAAGAAAAAGATCATTAGAAGGAGGATAATAAGAAAGCCATAATATTCTTTTTAAATATATTTTAACATATTTTAATTAAATATTTTAAATCGCCTTTCGTTATTTCGTTACATAAAACACCTAATCAATTATCTTATTAATAATTAAAAATTTTCCTAATCTTTTACTTCTCCATTAAAGAAAAGGTTACCTTTATTTATTAATTATCGAATAGTAAACTTTATATTCATTTATTCTTTAAATTCTAAAACTATTTACAACCTATTCGTTTACTCTCTTTAACCCTCCTTTCTCTAAATTTCAAACTTTAGCCTTTCTATCCACAATTAGCGTTAACTACTTCGTCTACTTAAATTATAACTTCCAATATTATAACCCTAATCAACTATCTATAACAAGTTTTTATTGTAGTATGTGGTTGGTTTTGTGTTGTGTTGTTGTATTGTTTTGGCCCATTTCATCAATAAAGATATATAATTTTTTAAAAATTAGTTCGACACCTATTATTTTAAAAGCATTTATAAGTTTTCGTTATTAAAGGAGTAGAAAATATTATAGCCTATATAGAGCCTTAAATATCTTAAAGACTTTACTTAGAATTTTATAATTTAAAAGTATACGTATATAGATATCTTTATTTATATGAATATCAACGAAGGTATTAATAGCATCGTATTAAATGAGTTCGAAATTAAGTTGGGCGGCTATAATAATAAGAGTATAGAAAGAGCGGCTAGCGAAGGTAGAAGCGTATATTTCTTACCCTACCTTCTTTATTTATTAATTTCTACGGATGACGAAGCGAGCTTTAACTTTATTAAATTTATTATTCTTAAAGAACTTGTATATATATACCTATATATAATTAAGGATTTATTTATTTCGAATACGTAGCTCGTCCCTATGGACTTTTAATTAAATCTTTATTTCTTTATAGTTAGTAAAATAGGCTTACTCTATTTATTGAAAAAGGTTTTTAAAAATATAGTAATTAAGAGATTTATAGTTCTTAAGCGCTAGGAGAAAATAGTATTTATAAATAGACTAGATTTTATCTATATAGATTAAGGATTTGAATTCTTCTTTAATAATAATTTCATTATTACGAATAAATTACTATAATTCTATTTTCGTAACGGGCTTACTGTTATATATTATTATAAGCTAGTAAAGTTTACCGGTATTAAAGGCGGCCTTTTAGGGCTTAAAACTTTTATAAATTTCATTTTTAATATAAGGGTTAAAATAGAAGCCAGCGAGGAAGGAGGTAGGCGGCGGTCGGTCTAGCAGCGGCGTATTTAAAAGAGTAGGATATCTATTATTAAAAATAAAGTTAATAGATATTCTTTCTACGGGGGTATTCGAGTTTTTTAATAGGGGCTCTAAAAATATATAGTTGGTCTCTCCTTTTTAATAGGTTTAGTTAAACTCTAGAAGGGAATTGAGTATATTGTACGTTTAGGCATCTTTAAAGTCGATTTAGCTACCGATGAAATTGGGGATTTTTGGTATTAGAACCGTCTAGTTATATTTTTAGAGTAATATAATGAATTCGTTGGAAGAGATCTTTAGGAACTACGCTTCGATTAGCACTTCCTTAAAGTAGAATATATCTTCGTTAAATAATATATTACGGATATTAATAAGTGAATTATTAATAGGGTTTTAAATATGGTAAATTAAGGAAGTGGCGTAGTTAATTAGGTAACTGATTTATATTTTAAAGTTTATTTTCTAACGCCTCTTTTCTTTCTTTTGGGTGGCTGTAGTTATAGCGTATATTTTATAATTATAGATACGAAGGTATATAATATTTGGCTTGCGTAGAGTTAATGTATTAAATTTATTTCGTTTGGTAATAAAGGTATAGAAATATTTATATGGGAATCTCTAATTGTAGAAGAATTTGGGGGACCGATTGGTGAAATAAATTACTATAGAAACGACTTTTGGCTATGAATCTTTAATAAAATGAAAATTCTATATTATTACTCTAGATTCTTTTTAAATTATATTTTCCGAACGTTTTATACTATTATTTTATATTTAGGTACATAGAGTAGAAGGCTTAGTAATTATACTTTTAAGAGTGAGGAATTCTTTTACTATATAGGATCCGTTAATTTTATTATTGTATTTAATAATTTTTAGTTAGATATTATATTAAGTATTTAATGTTATAAAGAAATTATTAAAGAAAGAAGTAATAGTAATAGTTTTACGATCTATTATAGAATAATCCTAAATATACCTAGTATATTTATAAGTAATAAATATAATACTAGAATATCCCTAGCGGCTCTTCGTATAGCCGAGAAAAATTATAAACAATTTCTTTCTTAGGCTATAGCTATAGACGTAGGGTCTACGGCTAATTTATTATTTAATCTTTAATAAAATATACGCGTTATAATATATAGTAGAAGGACTTTTAAAGCGGGTACTAATAACGTTAGTAAAGTAGTCCAATATTTAAAGATTATAATAACCGAAGCAGTAATACTAAATAATAGCCTCTTTCTTATAGTATTTATAATTATTAAAAGAATTAAATTAACTACGTCGTATAAAGAAAATAGTTCTAAAGAAAGAAGGAGAGAGGTCTTTAAAGATTATTTAACAATATTACATTATAAAACAGTAGAAAAAGGAATAATTTAAGTTTCGAAAATAATTATTAGGTAGTCGCTAGTTTTATTAGAGACTTTTTTTTTACAAAGGAAATAAAAGGAAATAAACTTAATTATAAAATTAGGATAGAAGGTTATATTATAGAAACGGAGCTTTTTAGGCCCTTTATATTCTTAAATTATAATATTTATATTACTATATCTTTTAATAAAAATACGGGAATTTCTAGCCTAGAGACTATTAGTATAGAGAATATAATAAAAGTTAATAAAACAGGTAATTTTATTAAAGATATAAAAGGAGCTATTAGAATTGAGAAGGGCGCTATTCTTAAGAGGGTACAGTTTTAAATCTGCTTTTCCTATTTAAAGAGCCGCCTAATAAATAGCTATTTTATAATTAATTATTATTTCTTAAATATTTTCGGTAAAAAATTAATTATTTTTATCATTATTATTATTTTACTTTATTTCCTATTCAAGGCGGTCGATTTTTCTTTTTAATTTTAGATTATCGCGGAGGTTCTTTTTAATCCTATTTCAGGTTTTCTTAATAAGTTTCTATTTAGGGTTAATTACTTTAGTAGGGAATAAATATTAATAATATTTAATTAAGTAGAGGCCCTATTAATACGCTTTAAAACGAATATTTAGGAATAATAATAAAATATTTATAGCCGCAATTTTACGCTTCTTCTTATAATAATTTTAAGTCCTATTAGATTAAATACCCTCGTCTTTAGTACTGCTATCCTATAGATTATTAAAAGTTAAACTTATACTAAACGTTCCCCTATAACCTTTAATTTTATTAATACTAATAGAAAGTTACTCGTTTAATCCTTTACAATAGAAATTTCCGGATATTAAATAAAAATTAAAAATATTAGTTATAACTTTCTTATTAAAATATATAGAAATATTAAATATTTAAACAAATCTAATTGGCCGTAAGTAATTCAAAAAGTTTTTAAATTAAATATTAATTATAGTAATTTCTAGAACCTTATAATAGATTACATTAATTATTGTAGCGTCCTAATCATTTATCTATTTACTTATCCCCTTATCCCTCTTATTAGGCTCATTTAATAATAATTTAAAGTAATTATAATACTTTTAGCGAGCTTCGGTTTAGGTATTTTCTTTTCGGTAATTATAACCGTCCTTAATATTAGCGTACTATTCGGTTATAAATAAGAGGCATAGAAAATTACTAATTTTATAAGAAGGGGATACGGATTCTTATATTTACTTTCGAATATTAATATTATTAATCTTAAAGGATTCGTAAACCTTCGTATTATAGGACTAGTTAATACGATTATATTTATACTTTTATAGATTAAAGGCAGTAAAGTCTATTAATTTAATTTTAGCGTCGTTAGTCTACTAATTTAGGGTTCGGTTAGTAATTTCTACGCTTTCGAGGATTTAAGACGCCTCTAAGGCTTTAACTTCTTTGTCTACATCTATAATTACCGGGGCTAAGGCTGAGGCTAGGGGTACATAAATAATAATACTAAGTTTAAACTTATTAAGGACCTCCCGAATTCTTTTAATATGGCAGAGGGCCATAATCTTAATAGTATAATTATCGATACAAATGAATAAGGATTTTTAAACGGCTAGTTCCAGCCCTAATACGAAGTTAATAAAGTCGAAGCCTTTAATATAGCTAAGCATTTTATGGCTCTAATTACAAAACTTCGAGGGCCTATCGAAGTAAGGACGGTTAGTCTTTAGGAAGAATTCCTTTAATAGGAATATAGTTACTTAATTTGGTCATTATAGGGGTAGTTCGAAAGGTATTAGTACGTAGATATTCGTACTTCTATAGATATTAGCGTAAACGCAAGTATCGCGAATCAGACTATTAATTGTCAGAATGCACGGTTGAATTAAATGTGGGTAAATCTCTGTATTACTGTGTGTGTAGAAGAGTGCTGTAAAACGAGAGTTGGGGGCTCCTAGAGTATTAGGGAGGTCTGTAGCCAGATTCTGGGTGGCTGGGAGGCTAGTCCTCATTTAGAGCCCCCTTCTTACTGGCTGGATTTAACCCTCCAAACTGACAGATGTTCATGGGGGTTTGAGTAATAGCCCCACGGGGAGAGGAAGCTAGGGGTTCAGGGTGTAACTCTATTTATCCACGAATCATATCGTCGCGTGGGGGTTGCTGATGGCACGGCGAAGCAACAACCTCTTTTGCTGACCTTGTTGCTGACCTTGCTGACCTTGACGACCGTTGAAGTCGTACAGGCGCGCCTTTTCACGGCAGCAACAGAAGGGCACTCTAAAAGCTTACGGAAGCTTCATCAAAATTGGTTCGTGGCATATATGTATGACGATCCGACTCTTTGATACCCAAAATCTCTGAATCGCTTCAGTTGTTGCTGTTGTTCAGCCCGTTATCTGGCCTTTTATTTGACCACAATTCCTATCACCCGCCGATCAAGCCGTCCTCTTCTTCTGCAACCTCTTCCCCGACTTATACAAGCCCATATCGGCGAGAAACGCAATCCTCATCGACGCGCCAAGATAGACAAACGGGATGTTGCCCCAGTCGATCGCATTCCACGTTGACGGACTCCAGTAGATGTTCAATCCCAACTCGCGAACCGTGTAGAGATGTCCGATGTCGCCAATCAACAGACAGAAGAGCACGGTCTTCCAGACGCGGATGTCCGAGGTTGACCGCAGCACGAGGGCTTCGTTGATGGCGAAGAAGAAATACAGGTTGGCGAGTTGGGAGAGCACGATGGACGTCCCCAGCGGAATCGTCTCAGGAGCCGAGGCGGCATGCGTGAGCTCTAGGTAGGCCTTCTTGTCGAAGTAGGCGTAATATGCGCCGAGCAGGGCGGAGAGAGGTTCGATGAGGAGGAAGAAGAGGCGGTAGAGGAGCGGGAGGGAGAATGCGGATCCTTGAGGTTGGTTTGTTGCTGCTGCTCCAGCAGGAGCTTGCTTGTCTGAAGCCATTTCCAATGGAAGTAACTGTGAGCTCGTATCGCCGTCAAGGTGCTGGTCGCGTGTGTTGGGCGCGTTCGAGGAGGAGGTTGCCCTGATGATTGACGCAACGATGAACCTTGTCGTGCTTGTCTCAGTTTTGGTGCAAGGAATTGATCTCGCTCTATCTTTGGCCCGAAGCTTGTGAATTGGAGCTTGGGCCACTCAATTGCTGTGGGGTCCCAGGCATGAACATTCTGCCCGCTTTCAAAATTGACACCGCCTGCCTATTTGATCGAGCCATCAAAATGGCCCGGGCACTCCTTATCTGAGGTGGGTGATAAGCAGAGGGCTTGCGAGCCCTACTCTAGTCTTGGCGCGCTCCGCAAATTGGGACCCATCCAACTTTTCTTACCCGCAGTCCATCACGACGGCCGCCTTCGAGACTCTTGCAATCGACGACGACCGACCGATCGACCCGATATCGACAATCGCCAAAATGTCTGCCCCTCAGCTCAACAAGATCGCGGCCAACAGCCCCTCTCGCCAGAACCCTTCTGAGCTTGAGACCGCCGTTGCTGGCGCCCTCTACGACCTTGAGTCCAACACTGCCGACCTCAAGGGCGCTCTCCGCCCTCTGCAGTTCGTCTCTGCCCGCGAGGTATGAAATCTCGACACCGAACAAACACACGCAAAACCGAAGACTCTCCGAGTTCCTGTTCCGGCGTCGGCGCACACCACGAGAGCGAGAAAGACACACCACGTTTTTCGCCTCGAGCCGAATAGTCGCTTCTGGGAAATATGATATGAGCATATTGGAAAGGGGCCGACAGCCAGCACAGCAGCAGCGGTGCCCAGAGGGTGCATGATGATGATTGATCCCTGGAAAATGGACACAATATCACCATGGGCACTCGCAGGCGTGTGTGTCTGTTGCTTGCTCGCGCCCAGAGACCATATACACATCAGAAATACCATACAGCGCGCCGCGGAATAGGACGGGAGCGGTCCAAGGATTGATATCCCCATGTCATCCTGGAGCTCGCATGCTGACTTTTGGTCTGGAATAGATCGAGGTTGGCCACGGCAAGAAGGCTATTGTCATCTTTGTCCCCGTCCCTTCCCTGCAGGGCTTCCACCGCGTCCAGCAGCGGTAAGTTTATCTCTTCAATATCAAGGCTCGCAGTGATACTAACTCGTCCCCTCAGTCTCACCCGTGAGCTCGAGAAGAAGTTCTCTGACCGCCACGTTCTGATCGTCGCTTCTCGCCGCATCCTCCCCCGCCCCAAGCGCTCCAACCGCTCCCGCAACACCCTCAAGCAGAAGCGTCCCCGTTCGCGCACCCTCACTGCCGTCCACGACGCCATCCTCACCGACCTCGTCTACCCCGTCGAGATCGTTGGCAAGCGTCTCCGCACCAAGGAGGACGGCTCCAAGACCCTCAAGGTCATCCTTGACGAGAAGGAGCGCGGCTCCGTCGACTACCGCCTCGACACCTACTCCGAGGTCTACCGCCGCCTCACCGGCAAGGCTGTCCTCTTCGAGTTCCCCCAGGTCTCCGCTGAGTACTAAACGGTGGACGCAATGGGCGTTTGAGTGTCTGGGTTGGAGCACTCAAAGGGTGATTATCGGGTTAGGGCTCAGATGATATTCGGGTTCGGTTCTCTTGCAATGCATGCATGGCAGTACAAAAGGAACGGCGTCTAGCTAGCTTGTCTTTGAAAAAGGGCAGGCATGGGTTTCCCCCTACTACCTGTTATCCCGTGTGTTGTGCACCATTAATGCCAACATTCAAATACTACTGCGTTATGGATTGTGGGATACATCTTGTTCATCTTTGCAATCATCTGCTTGTTGTGTATGTGCCATGCCTTGTGTCTGTCCTACAATTTCTATGTTCGTTACATGCTTTTAAACGCCGTCGTCATACATACCCTGTGAACCGTGTCCTCAATCGTAAACATCATTATTTCCTCTCTTACTCCTGACTCCAACTCATCTCATCATGACCTCTCACATTCTCTCATCATGACCTCTCACAACGTCCTCGCAACCCTCCCCAACCCCAACACACACCAATACGCCAACTCCCTCTTCTCCTTCCCACCATCCTTATTCCCCTTCGCGCTGCTCAACCCAGGCATGATCTCATCCTCGGGCGCCTCCGCCTCCCACTCGATCCTCACAAACATGGGTATCTCCAACACATCCTCATCCTCCTTTATCGGCCCCCTTCCATCCCTTTTCGCCGTCTGCACCAAGCTAGCCGGGATCACCTCAATCACAATACTCGTCCAGTTCCTTCCCCTCTCCCACACCTTGCCTACTTCCGGCCCCAATTCCTCGCCCGCTAGACTTGCGCCTCCCGCCGTCCCGGGTCGCAACGTGCCAGCGCGTTTACGACCACCTGGGCCTGAGCCTTCCGGCCCTGTGGAGCTCGAGAGGTTTTGAGATTGAGAAGAGGAGGATGTGGCGTTGTTATCCTTGAGAGCTTCCTCCCAGACGTCCGTGTTGGAGTCTATTTCGAACTGGGGACAGAGGATCGTCACTTTGGAAGGGAACCTGCCGGGTGTGGTGGCTGGTGTAGCGAGAGTTACCCGCACCGATTCGAAAATGGGGTTCTTGAAGGTTAGCACGAACTGGGCTGGCTTCAACGGTTCGATGGTATCAGGCGGCAGATTCGGCATCGGCGGCGGGGTCAGGCCGGGGATAATCAGCTGCTTGATGGTGATGGTCGGGATGTAGTTGCCCGCTATCAAGCGGATGCGGAAGCGCGTCGTGGTCACTTTGCTCTCGGGCTTGCTGATGATATGGCGGCACTGCGGGCAGCGCTTGGAGCGCTTGGTGCGCAAAAGGTAGGAGATCGGGCGCAGGGAGGAGGTGAAGCGCGTGAGGCCGTGGAGGGGCGAGGCGCCGAGGTAGGGGGCTTGGGATTGGAGTTGCGTGGTGGAGGCTGTTGAGGAGTAGGCGTCGAGGCCGGTGATGGGCTCGAAGTCTTGGAGGGCGGTGATGGCGCTGGTTTCGTCGAGCGAGGCTAGTTGTAGACCTTCGGAGGGAGCGAGCGCTTCGCGCATGGTGCCCGGTCGGGATTTGGATTTCTTGTCGTGCAGCGAGGAGGAACCGGTGTAGAGTGACATGATCCGCGAGAGAGAGGCGGGCGCGTCGAAGCCTAGGTTGCCCAGGGCGGCGGAGGCGTCGCCGCCTGCTTTGCCGGTGCCGTTGGCGTCGGAGAGCTGGTTCTGGTAGAAGGATTTGAGGTTGGCGAACTGCGTTTCCATGTCTAGGAGTGTGTCTAGGTCCTCTTCTCCGTGGGCGGTGCTGCTGCTGCCACCGCCGCCGCCTTGGGAAGCCTGTTCCTTCCGTCGCTCCTTACGCTCCTTCGCTGTCAACCTCGTCTCGCCGCCGTTTCGTAGCTTGGCTAGTTGCATGTGGATGCTGTTCGGCTTGTCGAACTTGATTCCTATCTCGGTAGAACTCCAGTTGCAGTAGGAGCACGACAGGATATAAGAGCCCGAGTGGGAAGAAGCGGCATGGTCTGGACTAAGCAGCTGGTTGGGATCTGGTGGTGTCTCGACGTGGTTCACCGCGAGGGGCCCGATGCATATTGGGCACTGGAAGCAACTTCGTGTACATCTGAGGAGGAGACAGTTGTATGTCAGTCAAGTGTGCTGATGTAGACGACGTGGTATAACTGACCTGTTGCCCTCGCTCCTGATGTTGCTACTCGGCACCTCAAACAGACAGTTGGGGCAGTAGTAGCAAACAATCTCCTCGGCTACACATCGTGGACAGCGGATCTGGTGGCAGTCCTCGCAGAAGGAGAGATACTCTAGCGGATAGAGGCTGTAGTTGGACCGGGCAGCACGAGGGTCAAAGGTATGGTCGTCGTCGTCCTGAGCGGCGCGAGACAGGCCTTGGGCGGTGACATCGGGAGTCCTCTTTGCGTAGGGGTTGAGCTCTGAACAGGGACACCGGATGTAGGTGTAGGGATTGAAGGGCGCCATGGGAGTATCGTAGAGGTCCTCTGGTGTTATTGGTAGCGGTAGCTGGTCATTGGCGGGATCGGAATCGGAGGGCGAGGACTCGGAGGGCGGTGCTGATCGCAGCCCGGGGAACCACAAGCGACTGCCGGTAGTGGTATCTCTAATTCGGCTTTGGGTGAGGCCTGGGTGGAAAGCGGGGAGTCTGTTGTTTCCAAACATGCATGCGGAGTCTCTTGGGTTCGGCTGGGGAGGGGGGCCTGAGTTGTTCGTTTGCGCCAGTCCATCAATCTATGAGGTGTCCATCGTTGAAGAAGGGGTGGGACGGCAGCGGGTAAGGTGGGGGGGAGGGGGGAGCGGGAGGGAGGGATGTCCGATGGAAGGATGGAGGCCGGAGGGGAGCTTGACGCGCCTGACGCGTTTACTGAAAGTGTCCCGTGGTTGAGGGCCAGTGGGCAGCTTCAGGGCACAAGGAACGACAGTTACAGGGGAGAGTAGGGGACCACATACATACCCCTAACCCGCAGCAAGACAAACCCAGTACTTGATAACTGGTAAGTGAGAAGTTCAAGCTCTCACCGTCCACTTTCCCTCTTTCAACTTCACTTCACTCTCTTTCCTCATTACGGAAAATGAGACTTTCAGCAAAATTTGAGGCCACCACCGGACCTCTTCAACTTGTCAATGATTAATGATTTTCTTCTGGCCGTACCATTTACCTGTCCAATTATATCCTGTAAACCTTTTAGTCGCTGACTTCCTTCTCTTCTGCCCGCAATGTCCACCATGAACAAAGAGACGTCCCCATCGCCAGAGTTGGCTTTCTGCTCCTCTTGAGCTTCCTGCCTCCCCGTCCTGTCGGCGTCTTATTATTACCCGGTATCCGAGACAGGACCCAGACGACGGGATGTCACCCCAAGAGATTGGCCAAGCTGGACCAGAACCCGCCCAAAGGCGAAAAAACTAAGACAAAAGAGGCACCAGTGGCAGGATCCACGACATCCCTTCATCTGCATCATGGTTTGTGGCGTCTATATTGACTGGTGTGATACGGCGCCAAAAGAAGGCGATCAGCTCTGCAATAGCCAATACTCCTCCGTCATCCAACTCTACTTTTCCGTGGACCTCCCCACGCCGACCCCCGACCTGGTCTCTATTGGCACCACATCGCTTGTCATCTTTCTCAGTACATATCAGTATCAGCCCCCCCTCTACCACCCAATCCTCAGCTCTGGGCCCTGAGTCTGGATGCGGTTCCAGAAAGGCCGAGTGGTCCTGGGACGGGCCAGAGATAGGTAGTCCGTTTGGTTGTTGGTCAGCCGCATGGGCACCCAAGAGGAGAGCTGAACATGTAAAGTCCAGGGTCTCTGGTTCGTCTGGACGGGAAAGAGTGCATACGTCGACTGCCTTTTCGAGCCGTTTCACAGCCGGGAGAGGCTTCACATTTGCCCTCCTTTGCCAGCAGCCCGTCATGCTAATCGCAAAGGTGATCGGCCACTGAGCCCAAGTCAGCCACACAAGCCGTACGTAAAACCTATTGACGTCGAGCCAAGCCCTCGGGTTAGGTTGTCGTGCATCCCCTCTGAGGCCATCAACCAAGGTCGAGGCCGTGGAACACAACATGCACTTTGGTGCTTCGGCAGACGTGCATTGTCTCTGGTCTTGACGGCTGGGGTTACCTGGGTCTCCCCGCTATGACTTAAGGAGGCGGACTCCCTGGCCTCCCGCGACAACTCTCTGCCTTTATGAGAGGGAAAAGCAACCTTCATGTCAGCCAGATCTTCGACTCCGGTGTTCACGCCAACTGAGAGCGACACTCACGGGTTTGCCATGGCACAATGTGGTATACCAAGATCCTGGTCAGATGGAGGACGATTTCACCAGACTCGCTCCCAGCCGCAGATCGGGAAGAGTATTAGGTTTGGCAGTTTCAACGACAGACGACGAGCAAGAATTCCGAATCTGAAGCGGTGGGACGGCGCCTCTAGGACCTCCCAACCTTGGGACTGCTTAGGGAAAAGAGTACGTCTTAGCGGGGAATGTCAAGTCAACAGGAGATACCAAGGCTAACTTATAAGCAGGACCCGGAGCTATGGCATCGCAAGGGCAATTGCTTGATATATCTCTATGGCCGTGGCCAGTCGAGTCGGGGCCCTTCGTTCAAAGTGCCGTTCAACACCCTGCTTGCAACGCAATGCCAGCCCCTTATCGCAAGATGTATCAGACGGGATGTCCCAGAAACTTTAGACACCGAAGCCACCCAGATCGAGCTCTACATTCCTGCTCCGCCTACGGCAACCGAAGAAGAGGCCATTCGTCATTACCTGGATACTCGCAATTTCTTTGCCTGGATTTTCCGGAGATCCATGGTAGGGGAACATCTTGGAGCAACCCTTATCCGTCTTTTACACACCATGACTGAGCTCCGATGCCTCGGGGTAAACAATGCGGACGACCTGTTGAGTTACGCCGACGAAGAAGGTTATCTGGAAATGTGCAACCAACCAGCACACACCTTAGGTGTGCTTCACTTTGCAGAGTACTGTCAACATCGCAGGCTCTACATCGAGGCATTCACTCACTGTACCGGAATGTTCGAAGAGCTATACAGTGTCCCCGAATATCAGGTAAGCGACCCTTCTATGCATTTCGACTTCCTTTGGCCATAAGCTAACTAGTCGTTTAGGTTATCACTTCCGCAACTCGAAGGCTGCTCCGTCAAGCAAAAGCTGAAATGGATGAGAGACTTGGACAAGCTACATTGATGTTGCAAACCTTTCTGGAGGAGGATCTATCCCAGGCTCATCTAGGACTGACGGTCGGCGGACGGTCCCATCTTGAGCGTTTCCGAACCTTCCTCCATGCTTATTTCGCCACCAAGATCGGATACTACCCACCAACGTCAATCGACCAGCGGTACTTGATATATCCTCCCGCGATATATCGAACGATGCGAGATGACATCGAAGCTTTATACGAACTCTTGGTAGACAACACATATACCCCGTCAGAAAGCATACCAGCCTCTGCTCAAGGGGGACTGTGTACTCTGCAGTGTGTTCATGGCTTTGACGCACGGAATAAGTACTCTCCGCTTCCTCATCCTCTGCCTTTACTGCCGGAATTACCTACCACCAGCGCATCTCGAAGAACCTCCTGGCTCCATAAACCCGACAAACTGAAGCCAGACCAACGGGTGGTTGCACATGCAGCACTGGCGAAAGCATCTAACAGAACCAAGGCCGCCATATCCAGGAATCCACTTGTCATTGCATATCAAAGATATGAAGAAGATTGCGTGTTCTCGCATCTCAAGATCGATAGACAAGAGAAAATTTCGCAAGTTGACGCGCGGAAGGTTCGATGGATACTCGTATATGCTATCTATCAAGTATTACGAGCCTGCACACAGGCCCCTTTGGAGCGCCAGGATGTTGGAAATGCTTACTACAACATGGCCGTTAGTACCGAAAATTTACCGCCTTGGGATGGGGACGACTATGAGTCAAGCTTCAGCATTCGATTCCCAAGGGGAACAAGACAAGAGGGTCATGCGTTTTCCAAGTCGCTGCCAAACTTCTCACTTCCCACGCCCCTCATTCTGTCATCATTTCCGGCGGTGTTTGCCTACGGCGAAGACAGAAAAATCAGGCCGGATATCGACCACTTCGCATTGATACATGCTAGGACGCCTAGTGGGATCGCAGCAGACCCCAGACCAACGTCCCCGCCCATTGTTCCAACTCGAGTTCACAGTCTCACCAGGAGTATCAGTCATTCTTTCAAGGCCTTCACTGGGACCCGACCAGTAGAGCAAGAGTCCACTTCACCCAGTCGGAGCAGGCGTGCTTCGTACCACGAAATCGTAATCCAAGGGTATGGGAATGGGACCAACGATGTCCACCCCAGCAATAGCGAGCCAACGCTAGACAACGTGCCGCCTCAGTCCTTTGCCGACGTCACGAAGGCATCCGATACCCGAATCCCAGAACAGGGTATCAGGACGCAAGGTATTACGCTCCGCTCACCATCGACCGCATCCACATCATCCAATAACACTACCGGATCTAGTACGACAAGCAGGGAGACGGCTGTTTCTGCGTCTTCGACAGCGCCGAGCTTCTGCAGCTCACCAACATCACCAAAAACCCTAATGACTGGAGATGAACTGGTGCGCGGTATGCCACTAGGAAGCAATGATATGGCACCTCCGCTCCCTCGCAGAAGCAGTCGACGGAGACCGAGCGAGTGCCAACCTGATCCTCTGAGAATCCGGAAAACTCAGTCAACAACCTCCCTTGATATTTCTGGAAGGGACGACAATGAGGCCAAGTGCTTGTCTACACATGAGACGAGTAACGATCCATGGGCACAGTATGCAGATGTGGGTGGGCTGAGGGACTTGGAGGTGAAGGTTCCAGTGTGACCCCTCACGGGTAAGGCTCGTTTCATCGTCTTTAGTCAACGTTTCCTTTGTACACTGCGTGGCAATTCATTTTTTAGCGGAAAGTCTATTCCATGGCTCATCCAATCTTTTCTTCTTCCTGTCCACATTTTCCAGGTTTTATGGAGTTGATCTTGATACCCAGCACTTGGTTTCGTTTGTTCTTTGGTTTTCCTTTTTGCAATCAATATCGAATAATACACATGCGAAAATACCAATATCCCCTTCTCAACATTAACCTGCTCGAAAACAATCTGCGAAGAGCCCCTTATGCCAGACCACAGCGTCAAGATGTCCTGACTTCTAAGCGAAGTTCTGAGAAGTCTCAATCCGCCAGAAAGGCAATCGGGTTTGCTGTGTCTCCCCAGTTTCCTACACATGCGGCCAGAACTCCGTCCATCCTGGAACCTCGTAAATACCCGCTGGTACACTTCGGAAGGACGAAAGCGCAACGCCCAGCATTGCTAGGCGGCTCAAGACATACACAGCTATGCATGTGCGGGGGAGCAGCCATGAGATCATCCTTTTGCGGTCATCCTTTGGTTTGTAGAATTTCTTCGTGAGGCCAAGGCCACTGATGGCCATCGTGACTGCACAGATTCTCCAAGTCCACCGTTCTCCTCTGGTGGGAAACGGACATTTCCAAGCGCAGAGATGAATGATCAAGAAGACCATGAAGGTGAAGGCCATTGCCCACCTCTCCAGATTCGGTCGGTTTTTCTGTTTCTGTTGGTAACCTTTGACGTAAAGTGACTCTCCGAACCCTTCGCCCGCCGCGAATGTAATTTTCCTTCCGGTGCCCTCGTCGATAACTTCTGACACTTCTGACGAAACTTGAACTTCTTTCAAGTGTTCGGATAATGGCGACTTCTCAGTTGCTGGCAACTTTTCGTCTTTGATTCCCTCGCCCACCACCTTCTCCTCGTTTTTCTTGGTTTTGTTATACACTTCCCAAAAGGCGCCCGTCGAGACCAACACCAACATATAAAGAGGGGCGATTTGACTCCTCCTGAAGCCTTTGATGTTCTTTTTGTACTCTGCGAGGTCCTTATAAGTGAAATATAGCTCGATCTTCTGTGGCTTGTTTGCTGAAGCTTGGTCCTCCTCCACTGACGTGGTTGTATCTTCTTTCGCCGCAAAGGTTGATGTTACGAGGTCTTTCATTGATTGAAACCAGCCAACAGGTTCCTCCTGTGCTGTGATCTCCTCGACTGTCGACTGGGCTCCGGCCTTCCCAGACAGTTTGGGGTCTTCCACAGGGATGACTTTCTTGCTGGGATCAGGCTTGATGATGAAAGGCTGCTCGATGTTGTGAGGGCAACAGAACCAAAAGCAGAAGGCAATGATGCCGCAAAACACATGTGCTGCAGCCATGTCCTCCAACAAAGTCACCGGGTAGTGAAGCACAAGCCGGGCGATAATGTGGACCACAAAGAACAGGGTCTGAACAATCGAGATGAATTTCATGGTTGAATCGGACTTGGACTTGTCGTCAATGTCGTTTCCCGAAGGATACTCCGAGTACTCCAGCTGCCGGGTATACGCGAGCCACAGGAGGTCTTCGTGGCCGGCCTTTTCCAGCACATCGGAATCGGGCAGTTTCATGTAGACGCCGTCCATGATGCAGACAAAGGCCTGCTTCATGGTGAAGTGATGCCATCCGGGAAGTTGCCTTTGGTAAACCATGAAGCGACCGCAGAGCCTAGTGGCCTCTAATAGATCCCTGACGCTCCATACCGCCGCCACCTCGGGCAGCAAGAAGGTGTAGAGGACCCGGTTAAACCTGTAGAGCCATTTGGTTTTTCGGGAACGATCGCCCGGCTTGCGGCACTTGTTGTGAAAGGAGGTCCATGAGGCGAGGAGGATGGCGGTCCAGCAGGTGTAAATAATACCCAGGGTGCCTCGGCCGGCTGTGTCGGAGTCGAGTCGGAATCCGGTGAGTGTCTGAAACTCGGCTGGGGGTCTGTGAATGGGTGCCATTCTCCAGAAATACCAGAGAGGTCAAGTTGGTGTTGGTTTGACCAGGGCTGGCTTTGATGGAACAGATGGATGGATGGATGAGTCGAGTTATCCGTGAAGCCAAGAAAGGACGGACATAACTCTACCAAGTCCCCGGGATCAATCATCCTTTTGAGTTCCCGGATAGACTTGTTTACTCTCAAGTACAAGGTCAAACAGGGGATGGGGTAGTATCAAGCAAAACTTCGAAACCCCCAGCACGCACGTTGGTGGCGTAGGGCCGTTCGGCCGCAAGGCATCCAGACGGGGTTGTTTGCCTATCGCCCCTTGGCAATCTCATCCATGCAGGTGTTCATACAACAACTCATGCAGTTAATTCCGACAGACATTCCTTCCAGCTGTGCCTGCAGTGTTCTAGACATCATCACTCCACAAATGTTGGAGTTGCAAGGAAGTGTCTTTGTACGGTTAGTGTGGAGGGGACGAACTCAGAAGGAACGACGCAAGGAGCGACGCAGGGGAATAGAACTTAAAACTCCGGGTGTTCTGCGCCTTCCCGCGGTTCTGTGAGGAACGCGAGGAGAGCGAGGAGAGCGAGGAGATATCCACTTACACAGTTCGGAACGGGAAGGCACAAAGTATTGATGTTGACAACCGCGGAAGGATCAATTGCTCGGGCGGGGCTTGAAGAAAGGAAGGAAGAAGTGGAAAGAGGCCAAAACAGAAGCTGCGGGGGGGAAAGAGGAAAACAGACAGAAAGTGAGTCGTCGATAACCACCTACCTCCGATCCTTCCCTGTTACCCAAAACCTAAAACCCAGAACCGCAAAACCTTGGTTGCCTCAATCGCAAGCAGCCTCGCTGTTTGTCTTTCCGCGTTGGTTTTTGTTTCATAAATGCGAGATTCGCTTTCAGCTCTCGCTTTCAGCTCTTGTTTTGATGGCATGAATATGCATGATTAGTTTGTCTAGGCTCACGAAATGAAAAGGATCCCGGGATTTCTAGAGTGGTGGGATGGAGCAGATGCAGGTTTGCTACCATAATAGCGGGATTGAGACTTCGGGGGTCTTTCTTGGGAAGGCAGATATTATGGAGGGATACTTGCGGCCATGCTGTGCGATGGGGTTAGGTATGTGATGGGCAGGTACGTGGGAGGTTTGTTTTTGTTGTTGGTCGTGCGCTCGATAGGGTTGTTCAGCAGATGTGGAAAAATGTGAATGAAATGGGAAGCTAATATGGAGAGTGGGTGTTATGGAGGGTTGGTGATAGTTCGATAACGGGTGACTTTGGTGGCTGTGATCGAGAACACCCTTCCTGCCTTGCTCACTTCACAACTACCTTCTTTCACAACTTCCTTGCGTCTTGAATTCCTTATTTCCTCACCCCAATCGTCACTTCCACCACCTTTTCATGCTATCGACAGCTTTGACCAGTATATATACCTGTATATCTTCTATCCAATGTTTCGCATCAGCCTGTTCGAACATCTCGCCTTCCCCCTCATCGGAAGTAATTACCACCACAACAAGTTCTTTATTAACTCCTCTCTCCCTCGGACTACTTCGATGATCAACCCTTAACACAACAACACGGTAAACAAATGCCACGCCAAGATGTTGAATAATGGCATCACCTACACCACCACAATACCACAACAAAGTTCGAAACCATGTTCAGACGAAACGAATGTAAGATATGAACCCAACCTCTTTCCACACGGCGCTTGAACACCAATCCAAAAGCACCTGCTCTCAACATGATATACGCCCAAACCATGAGCAAGTGCATTCAGGGTTATGAAGCAACCATCCCTCACGCCGACGGCAAGGGAAGGGACGCCGGTGGGAAGTCCATGTCCCGTCCATTCACTCAGCTTCCCTTTTACCGGCACTCCCTCCCAGTATTTCTCGGCTGCCCTGGTTTCATTTCTCTCATCCCGTTACCACTTCATAATCAAGCCCATTTTCTGTCGTCGCCGTTTCACCTCCGTCAAAATTGCGTCTCCCACTCGTCACCTACTCCCTCCTTCTCGTTCTTAAACTCCAAGTTCCGTTGTCCTTTCCCAATCTAGTGGTCATTGTCCCATGAACCGTCATTTTGAGGGCCGTCACTCCATATGGCTCGAGTACCTCTGGCTGTGTCTCCCTCAACCGATCAGATATGCGGCCAGTATTGTGTCCACGACGGACTCTCATACAGACGCGCGGGTGCCTTCCGGAAAGACATAAGGGCTACAACCAGCATTGTGAGGCGGACTAAGGGATATAACACAAGACTGATGATTGAAAGCCAGTGCATTACCGTATAGCCATCCACCCCAATAAAGGAAGGGCAAACACCCAACACTGTGAGCGCAAGTGAGCCGCCTCGCCAAACCCACGCCTCCGCAACGGATGGGAAACTGCAGTTCCACGCAGCTATGTGAATGCCGGAAAATAAAACAGAGAAGACTACTAAGGCGATTGCGAATGAATTTGGTGATGATTCCCAGAATTCGACGGCTTGAGTTGCAAATGAAGCTCGACGCTTTGCCTTCTTATGGATAAGGGATGGCCTTTTGCTGATCGGCAATTCCTTACTCCACCTGTCCGCTCTCATGTCCTCAGTTACAGATACATGAGGTTCAGAGGATGCTTCATTTCTTGTCGCATCCGCAGAAACTAGTAATGCCTCCCGGTCCGCTGTCAATTCTTGTTCAGGTTCTCTACTTTTAGTCGCATATAGACTGTTTGACGCCCCGGGAATATTTGGCTTGATAATAAAAGGCAGACGGATATCCTGAGGGCAATGGAACCAGCAAGCAAATTCAATAACTCCACAACAGGCATTTACCACAGTGATATCCTCATATAGAGAAACAGGGTACCCTCGGGACAGCCGGGCAATGATGCTGACGATGAACCACAGCGTCTGAATTATAGAGAGTGACTTGAGTGTCCAGTCACGCTTGGACTTATCAGCTATTTCATCGTCTGTTGGCAGGTCCGAGGAAGACAAGCGTCCGCTTCTCACGAGCTCTACAAGCTCTTTTGGTCCTACGCGCTGCGTCTCTTCCGAGCTCTGCAGCTTCTGATATACGCTCCTCGTAGAGAAAAGAAAGGCTTGGGATAAGCTGAAGTTGGTGAAGTCGGGTCCGCCCACTTGTCTTATTGTTTTCCGGAGTTGGAGGGCATCAAAGAGGTTATCGAAGCTGAGAACTGCTCCTATCTCAGGGAAGAGAAATGCCATCATAAACTTTTCGGCGTATGATTCTCGGGCCGCTGTCCTGAGAGAACTGTTCGGATTATAGGCGTCGCCGTGCCATGAGCTCCAGGATGAAAGCAGAATAGTGCTGAGGCAGGTCCAGATGATTCCCTTTGTTCCTCGTCCAGCAGGTTCAGGATGGAAACCGGTGAAGGCTGGGGTATCTCTCGTGTAGTAGAGCGTCGGCGCCATTGGGCCTCGAGGTGTCGGACTCGATCCAGAGGCGATTGCAACTGTTCGTAGTTCGTTGGCTATGGTGATGTGCAAACGTGCGGGAAGGGTTGGGCGAGGTTTTGGGTCCCGGAATATTGGGGACAACAGAAAGACAGAGTAACAACGACAAGAAGTAGAAACGAGGAGAGAAAGGGACAGAAGGAGAGAAGGAGAAAAAGCGAGAAAGCGAGAGGGCGAGAAGGACAGCAAATGTAATTACTTTGAGGCCTCATCTGCTTGGGCACCAATGTCTGTAAGTGGCGCAGTGCATAGCAGCTGAGCTGAAAGTTCTTCTAAACCAATCGTGATGTCCTCGACGAGGAACCAGGAAAGAGCCTTGCGGTTGAAATGATATCCTCACGGCGCTAGTGGCTGTCATGTATGTGTACAGTGGTGTACTAAGCAGCCTTCAACATCTACAGAAAATTATCAGAAAATACGAATTCTGGGACACGGAAAGAAGAAATACAATAGATACATCTACACACGTTTGGACCGCCATCACTCATCAGGGTACAGCTAGCATACCATCTCCCAACCAGAGCATCGATACACTCGTAACTATTGGACTGACCCTTACGATAGGCTGACCACCCACCCCCAAAATCTACCCTATCATCATCCCCAACAGCCAGGTCCTGCGACTCAATCAAACCCGCAGGTAGAGACACTTTCGTCAACTAGCGAGTACCATTGACCAAACCTCCCATAAGGACACAATCGCTTTTTGAGCTATCTAAGTCTCGGAAGACTTTCTCCATACATATCTCCCAGCGGCTCATCGCCATGGGCGAAGTTAAGGTAACTGTCACGAACCCACCCCGTCGGTACGAACTAACTAACCACCACATCGGTTGACGGACAACTCACACTTGTGGTTCTTCAAACTGGCTTGCGCCATTCCAAACATCACTAGAAGTAACCTGCGACCCAGAAGCAGCCAACACAGCCTCATTCAAACCCGAATGCCGGATCAACATACTGCCCAAGAATAATCGCATACTAAGGTACTCAACATCCCGATGAGGGAAAGAAGAAGCCTTGCTCCTTGCTGCAACATCTCTCAACACTTCATACGAATAGTGCTCAAGCAGGATCGCTGTCCCATTGTACAACCGCCGTCTCCTATTCACAAACGCGATCCATTCAGTCCATAGCTACATAAAAAATTAAGTACATGATTTTGGCGCTAAGGATGTGTGTAAGTTACTAACAATATCAGGTGGAAACGGTATACCAAGCTGTTAGTCCAGACCCCCAGCGCTAACAGTATACCAGCGTTACGTTGTATCACACGCCAACTGCTCAAAATCCTTTACACAGCCGACGGACGGTAGCTGGGTGGATATTGAGATATCATGCGAAACATGCAAACCAAAATCTCGGTACACACAAATTAGTGTCCTTGGTAGGAACTGGACTTATCATCCACCAGGAAATGTGCATCAACCTCCCTCACTATAGCAAAACGACACGTAAAAAGTCAGAGCAGTCGGACACTTACCAAAAGGGAAATAAGGTATCCGATGCCGTGCCGAATGACATGCAGACGGGAGCTGCCGCACACATGCCGGCGCCCGGCACCGAGTACCGAATCTCCGCTTATTCCGGTGCTACCGTCCGGAACCTTATCCAACGACACGGACTTGGCGGACTTTGGCGATACCTATGTATCTCCAAATGCTTCTTCTTTTACCGACAACTGGGTGCGACGGTTGGGTTGGCCATGAACTCGCTTGTGTTTCGACGAGTTCTCGCCGCCGACCTTGCTCAGCGTGTTGGAGAAGTGCCGGACCTGGAGCTAGGCGTGGAGGAAATTGTTGAGCGGGTGCTGGAATCATTCGATTACTTGAAGCAACCGCCAGATGAGGTGGTTACGATGGTAGAAGAAGGATACAATTCAGAGTGTGGGGAGGCGTTATGGAACTGGATGAGTTTGGGAATTTGCGTCATTGATGAGAGAGAAGAGGAGAACATGAGGTTGGTGGTGGAAGAGTCAGGAGGGGATATGCGACGCTGCCCAAGCTGGTCTGTTAGTGTATTTGATCACGGTGTTAGTAGAGCTAGACTCCAGACAGGCCATGAATGGAGGCAAAGAAGGAAAGCAAACGCAGCTGTGCATGTTAGAGGCAATAGAACTCAATCTAACATCTCCTAATGCTTCAATCACAACATAAATGCACAGAGTTAATGTCTTGAGTATTGATGAGGGTTGAGTGGATTGACGTCGAGAGAGCGCTCTGTTAACAGAAGCCAGGCATTGAGATAACAAACTTAACAGGCAAACAACAATGTGCGCACGAGACAAATGAGTGTATACTGAGAATCCAGCTCTCAAGTTGACATGCCTTAACATCCTGTCCCTCAAACCTTTCGTCCTCCAGCTAAAGAAATTCCCATGTATCCCTCGCTCAGGTCCACTCCTTGCTTAATTCACAATATCAGTATCCTGCTTTGGCCTCCAATCACAGCCATGCCGGTTCTCCTCCAATTCGCCCACAAATGAGTGTCCTCCATACATCACTATCTCGTTATCCTCTGACCGTTGCCCTCATCATCCCTCCGCGGTGATGTTCCAGCGTCACCAGATATATCCCCTGGTCAAAGAGCCGTTCGAAGGCTGAAGAACTGACAGGCAGCTGGCTGATGGTGATCCGACTCGTTCCAACAGACTCCTGGGGGCCTGGGATGGTGATGCTCGCAGACAGAGAGTGTCCCTGGATCAGTACTAGATCTGGGCGTGAGGCCTGACGGGGCTAGTCGTCTATGATCCTCCAGCCCTCCCAAATCGTATTGTAATAGTATTTGTGCTGCTCATCTGACTTGTTGTAGTGGTTTTTACAGATTGCTTTTTCGATTTTTATCGGCTCCTTCTCGGATTGATCTGGAGCATGGATGGCGATTTCCGTCTCGCACATGCAAGTTGAATCCGCAGACGGTGGTCCACATCGTTGCTTGTTCTCAGAATATCTTATCTCGTTTATGCAATTGCAGAGCATGTACCTGACGTGTACTGCCGGCACTCTCCAACACATCTTGGATCTTTGAGTGATGGGAAATTGGCTGCTGGAATGGAGTGCTGTATGGTGGCTGGAGTGCTGATATGGCCTTGTCTTTGGGAAACGACTGCTGAACAAGATGAGAAGACGATGATGATGGGAGATTACTGTCCAGGGAATCCACTCTGGCTCGGCGGACTGAATTATATACAGGAATGGAGTGTAGCCATCGTAGCTTCCCTGCGCAGACCCTGTGCAGTGCACATCGATATTCGCGGCAGGCGTGCCTGACACCCTGCTTCTGATAGTGGTGTATCAGCCAGTGATGTAGAGAATGTACTTCGCTGGCAACAAGCACCTTCCATAGCAGAGAAGCTTCGAAGAAGTGTTACAACAACGACGGATATCGTTTTACAAGACTCGCCCCCTCCCCATCACACAATCTACCGTCTTGTGGCTGCTCATTGCGCGATGAACTGACAAGACCGGGGAAATTTTTGTCACCGCCCACATGAAAGCTTTATCCAGTGATCCAGTGGAAACCTGCACGATCACAGCTCGTGGCCACAAACAGTTCACTCGACCTTGATAGAACGATCTACCTCAGTCGAGGGACCAGCCAAACCATCAATGATCTCCGAACCCAGCGTATAGATCATAATAGATGGGAAGACGAGCCAAGCGCCGCTAATGACGGGAATCAGTCTTAAGTCCATCAACAACAGAGGTAGGTAGTAAGAAACACCTACTTGGGAATAATCCACAACAAGACAAGATCAAACGTAGAGTTATGACCAATATTGTCAAACCCAGAGTAATACTCATTCAGCCCTGTATGTCACATCACTCTTCGTCAACAACAACTTCCTCACTCCACCATCACACTTCACATCCATCCACAAGACTCAAGAAAGGAAAAAAAGACTCACAATAAAGCACAGTCTTACTCAACGTCATCACCGCCGCCGCAAACCCCACCAACAACACCATTGCCCCCCTTCTCCCCTCTGCCCCCTTTCCATTTCCATTTCCACATCCCAATCCCAAAACCCCCCAAGCATAAACCAAATACATGCCCGTCTCCAGCGCATTCATCATCCCCTGCGCGGCCGTGAACCCGTTCCGCTCGTTCCACGCCTTCCACCCGTACACGTAATCCACGCGTCCGTACAGCTCGTAGGGCGCCCAGAGCGGGTAGTGCAGAGCGCCGCCGGGCATGGTGTGCGGACGAAGCAGGACGTAGAGGGTGTCCCAGATTACGAGGGGGAGGGAGATTAGGAGCCAGAAGAGGGTGAGGCGGGAGGGGGTGGTGGTGAATGTGGAGGTAGAGGTTGAGGTTGGGGAGGTGGGAGAGGTGACGGTGGTGGTGGTGGGTTTTCGTGCCATTTTGAGGGATTGTGCAGTGGAATGAATGGTTTTCAGTTGAGGTGGTGATGAATGAGGAATAAAGTGAGGAAGTCGTGAGGTGGTTGAGATTTGAGAAGTGAAATTCGGGGTATATACAGGTGGACACTGCAATTGAGGCTGAACGGGCTGAGGAGGTGGTGGTGTTTCAGGGAGCAACCCCTCTTTCCATAGTTCCTTGCGCTTGGAACTCGGAACGACGGGATGATTTGGATGCTAACGATGGTCTGGCTTGACTAGACAGATGGTCCCTTAACAATCTTGTGTGGTGGGAGTGAGAGAGTACGTTAGGCTGTTACTGGACCGAAGTTTGCCCTTTGCGGGTGTTCCTGCGTTGCCGGAACCGAAGCGGCGGCGGCACGCTGTGACACGGCGGGTAAATGTGGGGATGTCGAATGGCTTTCAGTAACAATGAGCCCTAACAGGAAACACCTCTGCTCTGCAGTGGATTTAGACTGTGAACCTCGGAATAATGCGCTTCAGAGCAAATAAAAACATCATTGATATCAATGAAGTACTTTCAGTACTTTCAAGTAGTAAATGAGGCAGAATGGCTCTTTATGACAAAGATGTGCCCGTGTGTCAGTGGGAAGCTGGGTATAAGTGATAGCAGGCTATGTACCCGCTAACAGCCCGCTAACTAATAACAGAGCGACGTCGCGACCTTCCCCAAACTTTCTTCAAGTTTCAACATCGCGACACAAAACACCCTCTGCTCTGAGCCAGGGCTCCGAATAGCGTAGCGCATCGCGACCAGAACTCGACCAGAACTCGAACTGAATTTGCGCTGAGGTATCATACGCGCTGGACAAATTCTCACCTTCGCCGAGTTGTCGCGCTGCGTGATTCGGAACTGTGCTCTGAGCTCATTTGAATGAGGCAACCTCAAGAGCTTCCTCCTGTTTGTTGCTTTCTAACAACCTGGAAGACGACCTCTGAGAAGGAGTTTACGAGCTTGTACTTGTTTAATACCAACATCACTCAACTCGCCTCATCTCGAGGGACTGTTGAATGTACTCGTTGGTGTGAAGTGGAGTCTGTCCTTCTATCCCAACTCTTCTGCGGGCAAAGCACGCCCTTATATCTCCTCACACAGTCTTCTCAGGTTTCGATAAGGTGAACCGAGCGAGCTCAAACGCCTTGGTAGAGCGGGACACGCCGATTCTTCGTAATGGCTTCCATACCAGGAGGAAGTGCTTGGTCCCCGGACTGCCGCTCCATGAAGAAATTTGTCAACAATCGTGATCTCTTGCTCTGCCTCGGTGATGTGGTAAGCCGTCTTATCTTCTCTCTTCACTGCATTCATCGCTTTTACCTGTCCCCTCCTCATCCTTTCCCCCTCTTTTTTTTTCTCCCTTCGCGGTTCGAACTCGTTTTCTAACTCCCGTCCCTTCAGATTGGAGACCGCCACCTTCTCAAATCTCTTCGCCTCACCAGCCGGACCTTCGCCGCCGCCTTTGAGCGCGCTCTCTTCCGTGTCCTCAACCTCTGGTACGACACGTGGCGTTTGATGAATTTTCTCGAACCATCACAAGATATTGCGCCGTTTCTGAGACACGTTCGCCATCTTCTTTTCACCCCCACACGAATTACATTATGGAATCCATAAAACCCGTTCATTTCCCACGGACAGAGCGAGGGAGTCCCTACCGGTTATGGGAGCTGTGGGGGGAGAGAAAAGACAAGGAAAACAGTTATATCCAGAGTTTTCGAGCTGGGCTGGTGAGCTGTTCGTAAGTATAACCGTGGAACTGACTTCCGAAGGTGGTGTGAACAACCTTCATTGTGGGAAAGGCTGACTGATCGCTATTCTCAGGATGGATTTATTCCCCCCTCTCCTCTTAACCCTAGCCGAGCATGCTCACCGTCTCACCGTTCTCGACATCCATTGCCGTACCAACCATCACTATAAGGACGTGGTACCTTCTGTGCTCTGTAAATTTAAGGGGCTCAAGGAGCTCAGCTTGCGGGACATAGTGAGGGAATGGGACGACTACGCGAAAGCCATCGCCACCGTTCTGATTAACTCGCCCAACATAGAGGCGTTGCGCGTGGCCACCTGGGCGCAAAATCGAATCTGGAACGTTGATGATTGGAATCAATGCTGTAATTCGTCAGACCCTTGTCCGCATGCTCTTCTTCCTGCCATTTGCGAGAAATTTGTACGCCAGCAAAGAAAAGGAGAGGGCCGGCCAGTGAACGGCGTCGAAAGGACAGATATACCACGTCTCAAGCTCCGAGAAGTAACGGTCGACCACCACTCGATGAGCCGGTTCATCCTCGATATCCCCGATCCGGATGGAAATCGCCAAAACCCACTCTACCTGGAGAAGCTCACCGATCTTCAATACCTTGAACGTTTACACATCGAAATACCCCCCATAAACCATGAAGAAGGCCCTGGTATCGTCCGCCTCCCGAATCTCACTCCGGTCATCGCCCCACGACTGCGATCATTGACCATATCGCCAGCCCGTCCCCGAGAGTCCCGCAGATGGCATAAGTGGGTTCTCGAAAACAACTTTCTTGACTACGCTCGCCAGGTCTCGCTAGGTAGGCTGGAACATTTCCTCGACAACTCGCGCTTCGAGAACCTCATACTCGATTGGTCCGACCGCGTTAATCCCCATGAGAGTCTGTACACACTGCTTTACCTCCTAAAGCAACCGGCCACCACGAAATCTCTCCAACGACTTGAACTCAATACGCCGGGCGATTGGACGGAGCTGATCCCCTCCCTCAAAGACACCGTGTCGCACCTGGGGAAGCTCAAGTATTTCAATATCCACCTGACAGAGTATTATCCTCCTCTCTGTCTCTCGTGGGAGGCCTTAAAGCGCGATAAACATTTCAGAAAGATGGTGGCCCTTGCAGAAGACTTCTTTGAGGTGCAACCGAGCCTTCACCTTGTGGAAGTCAACTACTTTCTGTACCAGGTTGTTCGGTGGGGCCCCGGCACCCGTGACTTTCACTTGGTCGAGGTCTTGGATCGGGAACGGGAGTGGGTTCCTCCAGAAGACACCCCGTGGCAAGGGCCAGAGAAGGACTCCGTGCCTTTCAGAATGTTGTTATGAATGACATTTATAGTAATGACACTATGCTTGCGTCCATGGAGGAGCAATTCCAGTTTGTTTTAGGGGTTGCTGCCTGCTCAGAACTCGTAAAAGGGTTCAGCATCCGGGGGCGGGGAAGGAACACGAATAAGTCAGCTTATAGAAACGGTAAAAACAAAGAAGCATCAAATCATACTACGAAAGCCTTGACCGTTTACAAGATGGATGAACGTGTGACATCTGGTACGTGCGGGACTATGTGTCGCTGAAATCATCGACGCATGAACGTTGGGATGCAAGAATAAGGGGCAGGGCTTGGCAGATTAGCAGCCCGAGCATGTCACTAACAGCTCTGATTGCCAAATTAGGCCTACTTGTGTTAAGAGCAACTATCTCCGGTGCCAAAGGCAAGCCGAAAACCACGGAGGGGGCACACCGTCGGACCGGTCGGGAAGACCCACCGGTGGCGATCTGTGAAATCAGGGCGTTCGGCGGTGTGACACGGAAGGCGATGACTAGTCGTTCATGCTCATGCGGCTGAGCGATCAGACACGATGCGCGTCCATCTGGCCTCGAGTATTCACTACAAAGGACTGAAAGGGAACTGAAACCGAACCGGGTGTATGTAAGTATATGTTGGTTTGTAAAGTTAGACAGATGGGCTTACTTGGTGTTGATATGGAAAACGCACTTGCAACCATCCAAAGGCCCATTAGTGCCAATGCAACAGTCGTCAACTTAAGCCTGGCCTTCTTGTGTCTTGTCACCTTACATAAACTCTGTGGTTACACAGCAGCTCTGGTTGATGGGGGAGATGTTACGGTCTCGTCTGCTGTACACCAAGCTCGTTGTACTCGGGGTACGTAGATCGCCGTATGACTGATCCTGGCTTTGGAACATGAGAATCTGGAGCAGTGAATGGTAGCGACGGACGAGGGCATTCCATGTACACTAGAGGGTACTGCGGTGACAGGATGGCTTACTCCTTTTGGTGAGGCTAATGGGTAGAATGGGTAGATATGAGAGATGCAGAGGTATACATGAGGAGGGTAAGTGTTGTTGGGTATGATTAGATGCGGGGCAGCAGTCATGGCACAAAATGTTGTGGGCATGTCAATGTGCCTATTTGGGACCCAGCCTCCCTCTGTTGGACCCTTCAAAGACCCTGATCATCGCTTTGTTTCGCAAGTACACCCACACTTCCCCAGGACAGGACAAAGGAGGGTGTCATTGGGAGGACCAGCAACTCTTTCTTTTTGATTAACGAACCAATCAAGCGGCATGGGGGAGTATCAAGAGTGACTTTGGATCATCATCAATAACTGCTAAACTCCCACTGGAGGATAAGGGTTGTGGAGAGGCCGGCTTCGGCTTCCACATTGTTATCACTGTTGGTGGGATTGGGTAACAACATGAAGATAGGCTCGATACCTTGACCTGGCCTTGTCCTGTGATGTTGCACAAAGCACAATGTGAAGACGTCTGACAGAAAACCTTGAGCAGGGTGATATGGAGGCAGCTTTATTGGCCAAGCTAGGCTCCAGCCCTGGAAGAGCAAAGATGCCGATAAGACGGCAAGGAAGGCAGGATGGGAAGGGGTAAGCAGTGCAGTGATGCATAACACGAGTTGGGATTTAGAGAGACAGGGTTGTTGACGACATGCTAGCCCGACCAGGACATCGGCTGTGAGTGTGGGCATCAGCATGGGCGTGGGTACGGTTTATGGGGTTGGTGACTGGACTCGAGGCAGACCAGAGATGATGGGGTCGTTGTTGTATGCGGTTCGTATTTCGCGATGTTGGTGGGAAGAGGGTGCGAGAGGACGAGACCAAAGGCATGTCTTGTGTCAGCGAGGCTGGGACCTGAGTCAGCAAAAATTGCAGATTTGAGGATATCGTGATCTTTCGAGGTGACGAGTAACTTGCAGGCGGTACTGGAATATTGTAGAGGATTCCGCGTTTATGACCAGGCATGGAATTTCCCATCGGGTATCGACCTACCAGACACCGAGTTGGAGGATTTCCATGGAATTTGGGGTGTTGTTGTCGAGGAAAAACGAGGGGGAACGGGACAGCACGAAAGAGGAGAGGAAAGCGATGTCAACTTCCTTGTAAAGGCAAGTGGTAGAGGTTGAGTGATGCCGGCAAGTCGGTACCTCCTCTCATCTCTCAAGTTCTTTCCCCCGCCAAGAGCCCAGCCATCGTGGGGCAGTTGCTGCCTCGCTCTTGCCTCTTTCCTCGGTGCAGCCTTCCTTTCGTTTGGTCAGCCTGACTGCCTGAATGGAAATTAATGCAGTTTCGTTCCTGGAGGCCTAGAATGCGTTTCCAGTTCGGGGGCATTTGTTAAGTTGTTTGCCTGAAACCCACCGAGTGACGGGAAGTCGGCGTGATATCTCCATTGGATCGTTCTTTTCTCAACGGGAAGATGAGCTGAATGGATGAACCTTGATCAACTGTCGATTCTCGCCTCTTTGACTCCACCAGGAGAAACATGCATTTCTCCTACGAGACGGTCAGACAGTCATGTTTCGAAGTTGCTTCTTGGCCTGGCTGATCGGGAAGGAGGCGAACATCCCTTTGGATATTCCAGTTTTCACCGGCACCCAGCCCGTCACCGAAGTGAAGTTCCGCAACTTCCGGGACGACAACGACGGTCGAGTGACCAAGGCAACCAATCAATATCATGTGCAGATATGATCGGCTTTGGGGTTACGCAAGTGGATAGAATATCAGATGCCTCGGATGCGAACTGCAGCTCAAAAACAGAAAGACAAGTCGGGGAGGTGGAGCCGGAGATGAAGCGGACGGGGAAGTTGGTCACCCGCAAATCCGCTCCGACCATGTCGCCGCCGGTCCTTCCTCCGGTGTCCCTGTTTTGGCAGTATCAAGAACAGGCCGTTATTGCTGCAAAATTGGTTAGTACAATAGCCCGTAACTTGGGGCGCTCCCCGTTGGTGGTGATGTTAGAGGTCTACACGTTAGGTGATGTTCAGTGCGGGTCTCTTGATGTCTCCACCTAGTAGCCTCTATCAAAACTCCACTGAAACGGCGGGGCCATTGGGGCTCTGGGAATGCCCCCGGCCCCCCGCTCGTCCCGTCAGTGCCACGCCGACGCCTCCACTCTCCCCGATTTTCCATCTCGTCCAGGTCGTCCCTTGTCCCAGTCTCACCTCCAACCAGTCCCACCGCTCGCATCGCCTTTCGTCAACCGCACCGACCGAAATCATTGCCCTTTGCCATCATCATCCAGGCAGATCAGGGATCCGCCATCCCCCTCACGATACGCGAGCGGCATGCCCTGTCGTGGTACAAGCACTGAACGGTACGGAGAAGTGGAAAGGCACAGCATGAAGCACAGCAAATGATGGCCGGCGACGAGGACGACGACATCAGCCAGTCAACATGTTCGCCGGCCGGCTAGGCGCTTCTCTCATCGTCTGTGGACTCGGCTATGGACAGCTTGATAGGTGATACTGCGTACAGTATGCAATCTCAACATGGCGCGGTTTGCCCAATATCGCGAGGCCTCGACTTTGGTCCAGCTCTATCAGCCCGTGAAGCTGAAGCCAGCAAGCACACCAGACCACAAGAGGATACCGTGCGTCTTCACATCGTCCAAGGCCCCTCCATTGTCCTCCCATCTTCGCAGCCAATCATAGTCAGTCACCAAAGGCCCAAGCACCAGAAAGGATCAACCACCACCCCTCCACCACCTCCCGCTCGCAGCCCGTCATCTTCGATACCTCCGAATGGCGCCTTTTTCCACGGCCTGGTCGGTCTTGACTGGCCCTTGACGGGTCTTATCCCTGCACCTCTGTGGTGCTTGCGTTGATGGCTTCTGCCTGCGAGAGCTGTCATGCAGTGCTGGGTTGTCAAGGTTGTATAGGTGATGGCCCAACGGCCAGTCTGTGGTCAGAAAGTCCCCGTCCCGTTCGACGACGCGACGTGGTCAGCCTCTTTATACCTTCAGCCAGTTGCGGTGCTGCGGGAATCGCGAGAACTATATTATTACATGGAGGACCGGAGCCCGTCGTCGTCCTGGTTGCCCAACCCACAAGACTCTTTGTGTTTCCGACTAGGGGCACGCAGCTCCGGCGTATGGCTGATAGTAAGCTTCAGCACGCGAGCAAGAGGTACGTGGACAGTCTTTGTTGTCTGTGTGTTTCCCATTGTTACGGCGAGGTATCCTGCTGGCACTCCAGCTGGCCCCCTCTGGGACACCCTCGAGGACCCCTTATCGCAGCCAAGTGATCGACAAGAGTCGGTCGATCGCTTCTAGAACGCCCACCCCTACCTATCATCCGCCACCGCCTATCCGCTCTTCGGACCCTTGGACCCCAGCTCGAGCCCAGGACCCAAACTTACCGGGGGCTCGTGCTCGGGTCCATTGACCCTGCTTGTCGCGTCTCAGGTCGCCTGCCGCTCTCCGGACTCTCGTGGACCCTTCCACACCTGGGGCTCACCTTGGGGTTATAAGTTCCCCTTGTCCCATCTCCTGTTTCTTTGTTGCGACGAGGAACCATTTACTGTGCCGGGTCTTCCAAGCTGTGACTTATTCGCTGACCCAACATTTATCAGACCTTCGTTTCGTCGTTGGCTCTGTTTCGGTCCAACCATAAAACCTTCTGCCACACCGACACGGCCCGGCGGCTTTTCCTCCTTTTACCCATCTAAACCTCCATCCGGATACGATACCCCCCATTCGATCGAATTCCAGCCAGACTTAGTTGCCCATCATGCACGGCTACTCGTCGTCCTCGGAGTCGGACGACGAATACAGCTATCGTCGGAACAAGGGGAAGATCCCGGTCCCCGCCAACTCCAACGATGCCAACAAGAAAAAGAAGAAGCTTAAGCTGCCTCCTCAACAGTCCATAAACCGCATCTGGAAACATTTCAGCAACAAGAGGTTCAACAAGGCTTTGGCAATCTTGCCATTCGACCCTGTCTTGCCGCCCACCATCTCCGACCGGTCTAATGAACTGCTCAGTGAGGGGTACGAGCGAGCTGCTGAGGAATGCCGAAGAAAAGTCAGAAAGATTATTCAAGAATGCAAGAGGGTGAACACGCGGTACCGGGATCCCGGCTGGGACTTGGTGAGTAACTCCGGTCGAATACCTTCCCCTTGAACTGTGACTGACAGGCGGCTTTCCTACAGGACTGGGATCTTAAGATGGAGAAGGGCCACTGCCTAAACAGCTTGGGCCGAACCAAGTTCGATTTGAGCGCGTCTACAATGCAAAATCCCAGCGCTACCGTGCCCAAAGCGGTGAAGCGTGTCCACGAGATTTACGAGAAGCCTACGTTCATGGCCAAGATCCTTGGCTCGGACGTCAAGCAGGGCAGCTTGGGAGACTGCTGGTTAATCGCTAGCTTGTCTGGCCTTGCCAATGTCAAGGACGGGATCCAACGGATATGCGTCGAATACGACACCCGGATCGGCATCTACGGGTTTGTCTTTTACAGAGGTATGTTTCTACCACCATGTCTGCCATCGAAGCAAGTTGCGCTAACAGTTCTGCAGATGGCGAGTGGATCTACTCAATCATTGATGACAAGCTGTACCTCAAGTCACCTTGCTGGGATTCCCCAAGCATGCAGCGTAACCTCCTACAACAGATCGATCGTGAAGATGTCGAACGGGTGTATCGACAAACCTATCAGACTGGCTCCAAGGCCCTATTCTTTGCCCAATGCAAGGACCAAAACGAGACCTGGGTGCCTCTGATCGAGAAGGCATACGCCAAAGCTCACGGCGACTATGCTGCCCTGTCGGGAGGATGGATTGGCGAGGGTTTGGAAGATCTTTCTGGCGGTGTCACAACCGAGCTGCTGGCTTCCGACATACTCGACCTTGACGGATTCTGGGAAAACGAACTCAGCAGGGTCAATGAAGAGTTCCTGTTCGGTTGCAGCACGGGTTTGCTTGACGGCGGCTATGGCGAGCGTGAAGGCATTTCCGAAGGGCATGCTTACGTCGTCATGGAAGCAAGGACATTGAAAGACGGCACACGCCTCGTCAAGCTTAGGAATCCCTGGGGTAAGACCAAAAAGGGAATCTGGGAGGGCGCGTGGTCGGACGGTTCCAAGGAGTGGACCACCGATGTCCAGGAAGAGCTCGGTCACCAGTTCGGTAGTGACAGCGTCTTCTGGATTTCCTACGAAGACCTGTTGCGCAAGTATCAGCACTTCGACCGCACTCGTCTGTTCCGCGACCCTGATTGGCGCTGCTGCCAAAGATGGATCGGTGTCGAGGTGCCATGGAAGCCTCAGTACAACGAGAAGTTCCACATTAAGCTGACTCGCGAGTCGCCCTTGGTATTGGTCCTCAGTCAGCTCGATAACCGGTACTTCAAGGGTCTCCATGGTCAATACTCCTTCCGCCTACACTTCCGTATCCACGAACAACACAGACCCAACGCTGAAGACTACATTGTCCGTAGCCATGGCAACTACTTGATGGACCGGTCAGTATCCATTGAGCTGCCCTCCATGTTACCTGGCAACTACAGTGTCTTCATCAGCGTCATCGGTGAGCGCAACACCAGCCAGCCTAGCATCGAGGATGTGGTCAAGCGGGAGTGCAAGAAGCGGGTCGAGAACGAGAAGCTCGTCCAAGTCGGATATGCCTATGATCTTGCCCACAGCAAGGCTGCCGCCCATCTGGAAGCCGTGAAGGCCCTTCGGAAGAAGGCCGATCAGAAGAAGGCTAGCGATGCTCGTCAGCAGGAGCGTCATCGCCTTTGGGAGAAGCGCCACCTCAACCGCCAGATCACCAAGAAGCAGGGTCGTAAGAACAACCAGAAGCTTGAGGCCAGGCAAGCCGCGCGCGAGGAGAAGAAGCGTCAGGAGGAAGAGCTCAAGCCGAAGGATGTCGGTGTTCAGACCGAGGAACCCAAGAACGAGGAGAAGCCGGATGAGAAGAAGGTCGAGGATACCAAGCCTGAGGAGCAAGCCAAGAAGGGCGAGTCGGGTTCTGACACCGAGAAGCAAGAAGGCAAGGATGCCGCGGCTGACGAAAGTCCCGATGCCACGCCTCTTGCCACACCTGCCGAGACACCGGCGGTCGAGCAGACCGAGAGCCAAGCTTCCGGCGGAATGACTACTGAGAGCGAGAAGCAGGCCGATGAGACCAAGTCTGAAGAGAAGTCCGACAACAAGGCCGACCAAGAAGGCGAAGTTCCTTCATCGGGCAGCTCCGAAGCCTCTAGCGGTCCTTCCTACACTCCCAAGACCGATGCCTCCGTAGCCGACGCTGCAGATGAGAAGGACAAGGAGAAGGTCCCAGTCCCTCCCGCTACCGACTCCAAGCCCGCCGCCGACTCCAAGGTATCTGGTGGACCTCCTGCTGCTGAGGAAAAGAAGGAAGAGGAGAAGAAGTCCGAGGACAAGCCCGCCGCCAAGAGCAGCCCTCCCAAGAAGAAGTCGGCCAACATGTACGTCACTTCCGATGGCGAGTCGAGCGCATCCCCCATCGAAGACTGGGAAGAGCTCTACAGCTCCGACGATATGACCCGCAAGCCGCGCATGAGCGCACCTCCTCCTGCCGGTACCGTCATGGTCAGCAAGTATAAAGACGAGACTGAGGACGAAAACGAGCCGGATCCGTGGAACGCCATCTGCGTCGTTGGGCTGCGCGTGTACTCCAAGGACGAGGACCTCGAGCTGCGCATCGTCATGGAGGGTGGCGAGCTTGAGGAAGGCGGTATGGGTGAGAAGGGTGGAGTTGATCTCGATAATGCTCAGGCCAACGCTGGTGGTGCGAGAATCGAGAAGGAGAGGAAGGAAGGTGAAGGAGAGGATGCGTATGAGGGCGATAGTGAGGAGGAGAGGAAGAAGGGGAAGCATAAGCAGAGGCGGTATTCGGTTATTGTGCAGAAGGGTAAGGGTGAGGAGGAGTATGAGAGTGCGGTGGAGGCTCTGTGACGGGCATAGAATGCATTTGAGTGCGCGCGTGTGCATTAGACGGAGCGATTGCGATTGTTTCTTGGTTCTTTTCTAGGTTTATCTTCAGGAAGATGGATGGCGTTCTGGCTTGGTTTTGGATGGGTGACGGAAGGGAACGGAATGGCTGTTGGTAATACCTCGTGGTTTGGTTAGCATGGCAGTTAGTGAGCTCGAAGTCCACTCAATCAGTTTGCCCATATCAGTGTTTCTTCATCACGATCGTGCATGTGAAATTCGGTGAAACCCGGGTGAAGTGGTGACAAAATCGTGGTATCATTCTCGCAAAAACAATAAGTAAACAAGCTCTCAACTCCTTCCCAAGCACTCAGTCTAAATAGCCATTCGTAAAACCATCCAAAAACATTTCCGGGGTATCCTTCCATCATAATATCTCATTCTTCAACCATTCGCTCGTTCTCATCGCGAAGCAACCTCCGTCCCCAACCTTCCTTCGTAATCTGCCCATGTCAAACCTCAACAATAGTCGACAAACTAGGCTCAAACTTTTTTGTCCCTCTAATTGACCTTCTTCCTCCCCACACTCGCCGCCTTTTGTCCTTGAGTCGCTCCTTGGCTGGTGTAGCGAACGTAGGCGAAACCAGCGGCAGAAATAAGAGCAATAATGAGGAAGTTGCCTGTTTGTTTCGTCTTGTTAGCATCCATCCTTTCGGTTTCTGGCTTTTTTTTTTTTTGGTCCTCGCTGCGCTCGACTTTTAGGGGTTGTCGAGGGGAAGAAAGGGAAAATCGAGCGCAGCGAGGACCAAAAAAAAAAAAAAAAAAAAAAGGTGTGGTAGCGGGAAGGGAAGAGGGAGGGAGGGAAAAGAGGAGAACTCACTAGCAACAAAACTCCCCACGCCTCCCAACGTATTCGCAACCCCTTTGAACAGATCGCCGACAAAGGCGAACAGGCCGAAGAAGAGATTGAAAAAGGCGGAGAAGATGGTGTGGAAGATGGAGTAGATGCCGGAGAAGAGGGATTGGATTAGTTCGGTGATGGAGGTTAGGAGGGAGGTTAGGGCTGTTGAGATGGCCATTTTTGTTGTTTGTTGTGGGGGTTTTAGCGGTTGCGTGAGGGTGTGTGTGTGTGGTTGGTTTGATTTGGTTATGGTGGTTGATAATGATGGAGTTGTTGTTTTCTGAAGTGTAATGACAGGTGGTGATAGTTTTTGTGGTGTTGTGGTTGCAGTGCGGTCGGTGTTAGTGCAAAAGTGTGTTCAAGACAAAATGAGTGCAACCACACGAGGGGATATTCCCGAATATTAAATACTTCAATTCCTAGGAGCTCACAATGACGATATTCTTCCTCCACAAGTTCTACCTGTTTTCTCAAGGTGCTCCCGTGCCGTGGTGTCACTTACACGCATGGTCCCCAACCAACCTGGGCCGCTCATAAACCCACCGCACAAAGTGACGATGTCCCCAATGACGTCAGAGGCTTTGTCCTACAAACCCTTCAAGTTCCAACATACCGAACCCAAAAGAACCAACGGGCCCTAGCAATGAAATGGAGATCGGCAACAATCATTGACTGTAGACCTTACGCACGTCATTCCTAGCAGTAAAACGTGTTTTCACCCGGTTTGGTTTTTTCTGAGCGGTTTCATGTGCTGAATGCATTCCCTCATCTGTTTTGGACGAAAGGGGAATAAAAGACTGGCCAAGACGTGGAAGTGATGCAAGAAGGGTCCAGGTGGGTCTACGGTGGGTCTCAGCTACGGTGGATTAGCCGGAAAAAAGGCCCAGGACCAGATCACATCAGACATTGTGGTTGTTGAAATACACCAAGTAATAAGAAAGGCACTGGGATCAAGAGTTGAAAAGGGAGCAAAAATTATGTGACTGAATGCGATCATTTACACAATGTAGCGCCTACTCAAGGCACACGCACCATGGATGCACAAAGAAACGCCATAGTGCAAACAATCAGGGTATCTTGATTACTTTTCTTTCTAGTCGGTAATTATCCAAAAACAAGCCGCCCATTAACTTCAATCATTCCGTCCCAATATTCACATCAATCACATGACCCCGATCAAAATTACCTCGCCTGTCCAATATCCTCAGCAACCGCCTTCCCCTTCCCCTTGTGTTCATTCGGGGGAGTACCAAGTCTCTCCGACACCGGCGAAGCAGCTTCCGCTCTCGCGCCGCCCAGACCATCCTCCGAAAGCGGGCTCGGCGATCTCGGAGCATCCATCAAACTATCCGGCGCCGACAACCTCTGTTCGCGATTCGTATCCACCGGAGAAACCTGAGTCGGACCTGAAGCCTCTCCCTCCCTAGCCGGTAAATACGAATCAGCGTCGTCCTCTCTTCCCTCGCGAATCATGGGCAAAAGCCCCGGTCCGCCTGAGCTACCACCACCAGCACCAGCACCAGCACCACCAGCGCCACCAAAAGCAGGAGTCATCATCCCCTGACCACCCAACGGCGCCGCATCACCTTCCTCTCCCCCAGCCATCAACTTCTTCTCCTCCGGCAACCCCATCGTCCTCCGATCCTTATTCAACACCCTCTTCCACAAAAGCCCAGCAACCACCAACCCGACCAAAATCAAAGTCCCAAAAATGACTCCCAATGCAATAGAAATAGTCTTCCAATTACTCATCCCATAATTATAATAACCTTCGCCCGTCGACGACGGGCCCCCGTGCGTAGACCCTCCTCCAGAGCCCGAGTTGATTGACCCCTGGGGGCAGTAGTACTCGTAGTCGGAGCAAAAGTATTGGGATCCCGGGATTGTGGCGCCGTATTCGGTGAAGGTGATGATGGTGGATTGGTCTTGGTCGAGGGTGGTGGAGGAGGCAGAGTAGAAGACTGCTGGGGCGACGGCGAGTTCCTGCCGCGCGAGGTCAAAGACAAAGTAGGAACGGCGGAGGAGGGAGTTACCTAGGTTGTAGTAGGTGGTGGTGCTGCTGCTGGCACTGCTGCTCGAGCCGATGAGCGTGCTGGTGTCGTCCCAGGTTTGGATGCCGAAGACGCAAGCGCCTTCTGGGAGGTTGAGACCGGAGAACGAGGACGATGACGAGGACGAGTCCGTCTCGGACGAGACCTGGCCCGTGAAGACGCCAGGGTGGATGATCAGATCGGAAGTTGGCACTTGTAGAAGTGGGCCGCCTTCGCCGCCGAGCCGGAAGGCGAAGAGCGTTGCGTTGTCGGAGGTGCCGGCAGCGCAGGGAATGGTGTAAAGGCCCGCGGTGGTGTCATGTGTAGCTCCCGTGAGGGAGGCGATCTGGCTGACCAGGTTGCTGGGTAGGAAAGAGATGAGCTCGCCCATGCCGATGGTGACGTCGAGGGGCAGGTCGTTGGAAACTAGCGGCTGCTGGGAGCCATCGCCGCCGGTGCCGAGCCTGGTGGCGTTGATGGAGTGGACGGATACGGAGAACTTTCCGGACAGCGCGTGCGGGTCGGTGGCGCTGAGGCGGAGGAGGTCGCCTTCGTAGCGGGACTGGTCGACGGCGCCAAAGAGAAGACTGCCGGAGGTGCCCTCCTCATTGTCGAGCCAGATGCTGTAGGCCGGGGTGGAGATCTGGCCGGAGGAGACCATGCGGTCGAGAATGGTGGGGTAATAGCCCTGGGTGCCGTCGCCGTAGTAGGAGGACCCGGTGGAGTAGTTGTACCCGAGTCCTAGGACACCCATCCACGAGTTGGCTTGGTTGACTAGGCCCATCGGGTAGTTGTCGACGGTGAGGTCGCCGATGACGAGCTTGTCGGTGAAGTTGGTACCCTGTGCATAGCCAGAGAAGGTGAAGGCGTCAAAGTCGGCATAACGTGAGTTCGCGGTTCGGTAGGTGGATGACTGAGACTTGTTGAAACTTCCCCAGACACATTTTTGGACATCATCGCTTTCCCAGAAGTTCGCATAGTAGCAATACTCGGTGGTGGCGTCAACAACCCAGGTGTCGGTCGAGGTTGGCGATATGAGGAGCGAGAAGTTCTGGGGAGGAGTGCCGACCTGGGCTTGGACGAGGTAGGGGACGACGAAGTCGGATAGTGTCCTCGAACCGTTCTTCCCTAGGTCGAGATCCTTCAACTGGGGGCGCGAGAAGGGGAGGTGGACATAGCCATCGGCGGCACTGGCCATGTCAACAAGACAGAGCACGGCTGGCCACAATTGGCGCAAAAGAGTGTAAGGCGGCATAACTTGGGTGTGTATGGCGCGTGAGTAGAAATATGGTTCAGTGCATGTTATGTCGCTATTGTGAATTCTACTGTCGGTGCAGATGGTGAGACTATCGCAAACCTTGAACACAACAAAATGAGAGGACGCGACACAAGACGATAGTGGCGCAGGGTGTTAAACCGAGATGAGGAGGTGAACAAAAGAATGTCAGCCAGCTACCCGTACAGTAAAGTATTGAAAAGGGGAAACAAAGAGAGAAAGAGTCGAGAAGCGGAACGGTGAGAATTTTCCAGGACGGGACCGACTTGTGTGGCTTCGGACATTTTGAGCTTCTAGCTTAGGCTGCAGCAGGCAGATGTTCCAAAGAGGTTAGATCACTCTGGGGCATTCCCGTGTTGGTCGGCAGGGTCGGCTAGAGTTCGCCTTTCGAGAACCTGGTCGTGCCTGGAAGTCCAAAAACAGCATCACGGTGAGCACATGGCCTGTGCTTGATTCAGGAACAAGTAGATGGGGTGACCAATCCGACGCTGGACAGACTCCCTTGAGGTGCGCTTGACATTGTGGCTTAGGTATTTTAGCAAGTTTCACTCTTCGTATCGATGGATGGATTCGAAGTTGCGGTGATTGAAATGAGCTTCAAAGGTGATGATGGGAGTCGTTGGCGAGTGATGAAGATGAATTGATTGAGGTGGAGGAGGAAGTGGAAGATTTTCAAGTCGGCGCCAATGGGGATCTCGGCCCTGAAAACTCTCACTACATAACCCCGCCTGGACTACACCTCGGGCAACGTGATGGCTTCAAGGCAGCAAACTGAACCACCTCACAAGAAACAGAACAGACATTGAGTTCGATATCAAAGGGTATCTCTTAGGGTATCTGTCTATACTAAACTATTACATAAAAACATTAAATCGTCCAAACATTGACCCATGGGTCATGGCTGCATCACCAAGCCTACCTTACCTGACCCGACCCGCTGACATCCATCTACGTAGTCCATCATCATCATCACCACCACCATCACCATCACTATCACCTCCCCCGAATCATTCAAGCCCGTCTAATTCCCTGTAGCATCCCGAAGACGCCTGGTAAAATGGAAATAAAGAAAAGAAAAGAGAAAACACAACATAACCCTCTGATAATCCATCACGCACGCCTAGGGGCCATCTCCCCCCTCTGATAAGTAGGAGGCGGCGGCGGTGTCTCCTCATACAATGGCGGCGGTACCAGAGGTGGGAGACCGCCTTCGAACACGCCAGGTTGTCCTGCCGCTGCTCCACCTGCCCCACCTCGTGCCCCGATGGCCCCGGTCCCCGCTCCGGTCCCAGTCCCGGTGGCTCCACTTCCAGTAGTCGCACCCGTAGTAGTACCCGCTCCTAACGTCGGTGCATGAGGTGCAGTGTTGTTCGGATTCAAACCAAGAACGATGGCCAATTTCACGTTGTCTTTGGTGGTCGAAGTTTGTTGTTTCCTGATCTCCCTTAACTTGCGGAAGCTGAACCAATAGATGGCGACGATGATGATGACGACGACGACGACGACGGCGATGATGAGGGGGAGCTTGTCTTGTTGGATGGAGCCGCAGCCGTGGAGTTCGTGGCATGCGGTGCGGGGGAGGATTGTGAGTCCCAAGGGGGACGAGGGTGAGGTGATGAGGGTTGGTGCCATTTTGTTGTTGTTGTTGTGGTTGAGGTTTGGTAAGTTATGTGATTGACACCACGTGGTATTACCTATGCGGTGGCGCCCGATTAATATGGTATTGACTTGTGTTATCGTGGCGGGTGTTATCGGTCCATGAGTCTCCCTTGGTAGTAGTAGGAATTGACGAGTAGAAACGAAGAGACATTCTTTTGAATCGCTACACAGAAGGGGGGGCATCACATCCTTTTATGCATCCCGTCGCCAGGAACGGTCACGAAGCAGCATGTGGTGTTGTTTGGTGGTAGCGCGTCTGCGCATTCAGGTACGAAAAGAACACTGCCTCTTTGGGCCGACATGCGGACATCAAATGACTCTTTTTTTTTTTTGGGGGGGGGGAGGGGCTGAGACCATTTCAAAGGCCAGGACCGTGAACGCCCAAGAGGAATAAGCGGGAATAACGGATAAGCGTTTCCGGAATAACGGCACGGCATCGACTTAGGCAAGTGCTCATTCGGGGCGATCGGAACGCGGATTGGATGTGTTATGAGGGATTGAACCAGAAGTATTTAGAAGTGATGCCACGTCCCAAGTGATATTGGTTAGCTCGCCCAGCGATGCGCAGGGTCTTCTCCACCCTAGCCTGCCAATGCGAAGTACCTTGCATATCATGGCTTGGTCGAGGCACTCACGCGTTACCGCAAAATTTCACTCATAACGGAGATGCTCTTTTGGGGAAGGCCACACCTTATGCGGGTGTTTTGAGCTTGCTCTTAGCTACATATGCAGCATCTTGCCAATTGAATTGGCTCCCGTCATAATTCTGGTACGATCCACAAAGCATCTCCGTTATGAGTGAGATTTTGCGGTATCACTTACATGGTCAAGGGTTAGGGTTGGTGCTGCCTTTGAACAGCGCTGTGATGGGAGTGAATTTGGGTATGACGAAATAAAATACATGTATAATGTTACAAAGACATTAGTGAAGAAAAGAAAATTGTATCCCAAGTTCCAAAAGGTCGTTCCTCGCGTTTTCGTCCAATCCAGTCATCCGTTAACACCAACATTTGATCGATGACACCAAAAACAAACCCCAAGCTTTTCCATCTGCGTTGATTTACTTGTAGCCACCTTGCTGATAAACTGGATCCGGCTGATACGGCGGCGGCTGATAAGTCCCGGGCTGTGCCCATCCTCCAGCAGGGGCATTAAGTCCGTTCGGATTCTGAGCGTGGTGATGAGCGTGGTGATGAGCGTGGTGATTGTGGGATGAGTGAGCCCATCCTCCAGGGGCAGCTGCCGTCTGTTGCATGTTCTGGTGCATGTTTATGCGTGACCGGCGAACTCTCCTCCTGCGAAAGAGGACGGAGAGGAAGGCGAGGATGATGACTGCGATGACGATGGCGACGATTACGCCGATGAGGGCGCCGCGCGAGAGACGACGCCGGCGATAGCCGATGTAGCGGGGAAGGAGGTTGGCGAGGGTTTCACCGCTGGAGGAGAGGGATTTGGCGATGAGGGTGGATGGTGTTGGTGCCATTTTGATGACGTTTGTCTCCTTGGTAGGAGTTCAGGTCGGTTGACTTTGATATTGTTTGTGATGGAAGATCGCTCAAGTTGGTTGATTGAGAGCGAGCTTGATATGATTGGGATGATTGAAACTAGACAAAACCTCTCAATGTGAGTTGGATCGTGTTTCTTTATTCACGTTGTTCAAGTTGTGACGGGTTGCTTCTTTGACAACCATGACCGCATTGGAAGAGCCCGGAATCATGACGTAGAGCGGGATAACTGGTTGTTACACTGCCCTGTTGTGTCGCCACTCGCCGAGCCATAATGATGATAAAGTTGAACCCTTCGGTGTCTGTTGGATATAAAGCATTGGAATACCAAACCTGCACGAACACGGACGTTTGGGGGCGATTTGCTTGGCTATACTATCTGAAATCGGATATCGGCAATCTGGCTCAGGGAACGAAATTATCAGTGTTAGTTGGTCTAAGAGAAGGTTATGTCATCCTCACCAACACTGAGAGTCGACTATCGGAACTGATGACCCTTGAATCGCTACAAGAGAGCCGGTGCTATAACTCCGACTGGATTCAGTCCAAACTTCAACTGTATCAGAGTCGCGATCTCGAGTGGTGGTGATCGATCGGATGGTGTTGAGCAGATCCCGGGGCAACTCCACTAGCATTTAAGCTTTTAGTCAGTGGAGCTGCCATCAAATTCCCAAGTCAGCTCATCCCCCAATCCTGATCATCCCATCGTTCTGATAAAATCGATGCCGAAAACCGCAAGAATATTACGATGATTAACCTGGAAGTATTGCGCCGACAATATAAGTTCCTTCGTCGGAAAGTCGGGGTTGCTAGGTCCGGTGACAAGGTTCGCGGGGGCTAGACGTACCTGCGCCTTACCGGGCTGTGCCCCAGTCGGCCGGGGCTGTGGTGGGGCAAGAATTGTCAGGGACAGAGCTCGATGCCCGTCTTGATGCCGGCTGCCGAGGTGGTCTCTTCGGCGATGGTACTTTTAGACAGCTCTTCAGATGACCCCGTTGTGCCTGCCTTCAACAAGATTGATAGGGGCGATGGGGTGTTCTGCCTGGAACTGCTCCCAGGCACAGCAGGCAACAGGAGCTCCACATCACCCTGACTTCAAACTGAGTCACCCCACTTGAGCAGACACTATCTCGAAAGCCCGGTACCAACAAGCCTCTCGAGATCGAGTTACCCAAGAATGGGCCACACTACGCCGCATAGACGACAGCTCCCTTCAGGGGGCACCAATCAATCGACATAGATGGCGAGTGCGTTAACCCTTCTCGTTGCGACGGTTATAAGCAGTCGATCCTCTCCTTCTCGTCCATGTTACCTGCTCCCATGTTGACCCAACAAAGCTGATGTTGCATCCGATATCGGATTCTCTCTCGAGATAATGGGCCTTGGACTTTTCTCCGCCTCCGTTCTTGATCCTTCTGGGCAGTTCTCGCCAGCCCGTCTAACCAACGATCCGGAGAGTCTGGGCCAGATATCAACCCTGGCACCAAAGTGTCTGGACCATCTCTCAAACACCCACCCGAAATCATATAGTAAGCACCTGTTCTTCTCGTCAAACGATGCTCTGAGTGCAGTATAGTATCTTACTCTCCATTTACAGCAGAGCCAACCCATCCTCGCCACTATCATAAGCAAACCTATCAATATCTCGAAACAAACACTTCTCTCCGCTCGAGATATTCCAGGGGCTCTTCCGACAGACGAGGAAGACATGGACGGATAGCTGCGGCAGACGGATATGACGATGGAAGCCAAGACCGACAAAGTACCCGGCCCATCCGTTCTTATCCATCAAGGTCTAGCCGCAGACCGCCGTCTCTAGAGCGACAAGACGCCTTCGCTGATACAAGAACACGCAAGGATCGCCAGATCCAAATACGTGACCTGGTCAGTAGTGGAAGAACTTTCCCTGTGCGCCACCAGTTCAACGGAGCCTGCACGCATGGGCTCGTCATCATCAATGGCATCATGGTGCTTCAAGAGGAGGCAATGCTGCCAAGATGGCTCGATGTTGGGGTTACGCAGCCCCTGGGGAAACGAAGAAGGGGTAGAATACCGGAAGACTATGCCAAAGAGTGCGATGTGAAGAGAAGGAAGAGAGGTGGTGTCAGGAACCGCGGAAATCCCGAGCAACCGTCCGATTTTTGGTCTGCGTGCGGCACCCCCGAAGACAGCAGTTGAAGACGACGGACGTCTGCAAGCAAGTCAAACGACAACTTCCGAAGCCCTTGGGTTGGGGAGGATATATGTGGCTGTGCATGGCAAGAGGCGTTTCTATGGTTTTGGTTCAGATGAACTTTATTTCTTTCTTTGGCTTTTTCCTCTGCACTTTGCACTTGAGGAGCACTTTCACCGACTATGATACCCCTGAGCGGCTGCTAGGCAGTCACGGCGCTTTGCACTACGGCGTTTGGCGTGGCAGCACCTGCTTGTTTATGAAATCACTATCTAATATCATGACTTGGGCTGCCTTTGCTTCCGTTTGCCCTGCCTTTCGCAACACTGGTGTCTTTGTTTTCTCAACGCAACGGAGCTTTTCAACATTGAAAGACTGACCAGAATTTATAGGGCCAGCCAGAGTACTACCTGCTCAACTTCTATCAACGCTAAAGCTTTGCGTTACGGTAATGGTGTTGAGACTCCGCGGGTTACTGTTTACCATACCCTGCTCTTCATCTCCCAATACCCTCCGCGTGCTATCAGTACTGCTCTCCAGTTGGCTACGGCCGTAATCGTCAACTGTGTCCATATCTGAATCCTCGTCAAGCCTTCGCTGCTGAGCTACCACTGTCGTCTTAGAAGGTTCGCTGACCCCTATCCGGACTTGCATGTGAAGAAAGTCATCATCGTTTTTGTTCATGACGCTTATTGCTTTTGTACAGTTCACTCGCTTCAAGTTGCACTGCCCAATATCAAGGGGTCCTCCGCCGATAGTATGGAGTGCATACCCTGGTTGCTCCCTTGAACGGTCCGATTGTTTGAGATATCCTGACGAGTGTGCGGATTGCGTTCGAAAGCGTAAGTAGATGCGCTTGTATAACGGTCTCAAAACGGGTATGCCGATGCAGATCAGGGTAATAGCCATCTCTGCCGCCGACCACACAATAAGAGGAACCGTGGTTTCTGTAAGTGAAAGAGAACTGTTAGCTTTGTGCTGATGGGTCGCGACTGGGTTTTGCTTACTCAGATAATCCGATGTGTATAGGCCTTACACTTCAGTCATGCGCTTGATCCCAGCGGCAGCGGTACTAAACCATCGTCAGTTTCGGTTCGAAGTGGGCGTATTGGTACATCGAGAATACTGACATTAGTCCGAGGCTCATACTGCAGCCGATAGTGATTTTCTCTTGTTTGGGCATCTGAAGATTCCAGATGATGATCCATGATCCATGGAAATATTGCAAAGAAGAAGTCGGTAATGATGGTTGAAGCTACAAAAGGTTAGTTATCACCCGGATCTTCATGTTCGCTCTACCACTCACCACAGAGAAGATAGGAAGTAGGTCGTGTATCAACTGTGCAGACTCCCGAAATAGTCTTGTCGTACACGTAGTTGAATGGACGACAAGACAGCCAGAAACATAGCAGCTGTGCTGTTGAACAGAACGTTGTTAGCATCCTCTGGGAGTCTAGCACATTGTTCACGGACCTTATCCTAGTCGAACAAAGGAGCTCACATACCAACAGATGCCAAGGACATCAAAGTCATTGCTCCCCAGACAGCAACTCGATGCCATGTCACAGTGACGAGTCGAAGAAGAAACGCCCCAAGTGAAGCTTTAGCGAGAGGCATACCGACAAACGACGTGGTTTGTCCGAGGCACTCGAACAGTCGAGCTTTTGTCGCCCTCTATCTCTTCCTCGGTTTGACCGAAGCCGAAAAAGTCAGCATGCTGAATGAGTACGGTATAGATCAAGAGGACGATCTGGATTGAACGTAAGGTTAGCTTCTGCCACATTCACCTTCATATCAGATTGAACTCACAAATGCGGCAACATATATCCAGTCATCGGTGCCATAAGCGGCCATGCAGACCACACGGGTATAGACACGGAGTATCACCAAGATAAAGACCAACCCAGCCATCATCCACATGATGGCCAAGGCCGTTGAGGCATGCTCGCCCATAGCCATGCTGTCCCGATGGTCTGGGTCCTAGGGTAGTCAAGAATGACAATGGAGGTGACACAAGTCAGCGTTTGATACCACAGAAGGTTTTGTCATGGGCCAGGATTCTCCAGGACGAGCAGACCCAGAGTTGAGGTTCCATCGTCGGCTTCAAATAACCCTTAAAAACGGGCAAGGAAATGAGATCAACGCTACAATGGTGCCTAGGATCTGGCCAACACCCAACTGTCAAGGGGGAAATGAGATCGAACTGCCACGGCTAAGATTTTGGACCGACATACGATTCCTGGAGGGATGATCGGCTATCATCCCAACTGAAAAACCGTCAGGTTTGTTCATGGCTGCGAATAGCAGCTCTGCCCGCGTCCGTCTCTCCGCGTTTGCTGCTCAAGCACACGCATTGTTGGAGTGTGGGATCTCGAGGCTTTCTTGTACAACCACACCTCGACACTGCGTCATGAGCAACTTCGGAAATTGCCGTCATCGTTATCGACGACAGAGGTCAAAGTAAGGTTGCCTGACCACGAGGATTGACTGCCGGCACATGGAAACTTACCTTATTCATCCCAAGCGACAGCCACAGACGGACCCGATGGAATGTTTGCTGAAATATTTCGTCCACGAATAGGGACGCCATCGGCAGTCAGACGGAAAAATATCACACGAGGTTTGGAACAATCGACTCGCGCGAGGGTCGAGACCACCGATGGCTTGCAGACACATTTTGATCCGAATCCAACGGGTGAGTGTCTGAGGAATGTTTCCGCCAGCCATGAATCTTTTGATCTCTCACTTTTTGGCTAGAGGAGCATGATGAGAAAGTTTGTACTGTTGGAAAAGCAGTCATCTCGAAGTACCCATGTGCCAAATAACACGAGCAACAACATTAAACCGTCTAGCAGGGGCTCTAACAGTAAGCTTGGAACTATACGATTGGTGCGTTCGCAAATACTGTGCCAAACGCACCGATCAACTAGCCATCTAAAAAAAAACTCTACATCCCGCTACAGTGCTTAGTGGCTTCTAGTCAGAGCTTCGAGCCCTATGGAGAGACATACATGCTACGTCAAGCTAGCAAGCTGTAGCAGCTTAGGGTGATGCATGGCACCCCGTACAAAACTCCGTACGGACACTGACTGGCGTCTCCGCGACCAGTAGTGAGCTGGGGAAAGTTTCGTTTCGTTGAAGATCTGTGTCCAGTGTCCACCTCTGGTCTGATTGCGAAGACTCTTCCCCGGCTTCATCACGACGTTGAAGCGCAAAGGTTGTGCTAAACTGAGGGGATGTGTAACATCAAGATGAACAAGGGGTGAGGGCTAGGTGGTGATGGCGAGAAGGAAAGCGAAAGGAATGATCTCCCAATGCTGCTGTCGTCTTCGGAGAGATCTTTTGCATTGCAGACCAGACCAGGAAGCTCTTCTCAAAAACTGCCCGGTTTCATGCGAACGTCGAGGAGGGGAAGCGAATCCAACGTGGAGGCTCGGCGCGGGATATCACCAATACATCAAGTGAGGAGGAGATCATGAACTGAACGAACAGGTGAATGCGGGTGGATGTCAAGAGATGTAGGGGTCTATAGAATATTTGGATGCCCAGAGCCCGTTCAGTCTCGGCACTTCTGATATTGGAACTAGATATTACGAAGCCGTTATTGGGTCCCACTCAAGAAACGGAAGCAACTAAGTCGTCGATCTTAACACCATTCAGCCCCCGAAGCCAAGATGTTCTGTTAGACGCGACCAGAAATCCCCGCCGGCAACTTTGCCAGAGGGAGACTGAAAGTTCCGAAGGGACACGGAGATACGGGTCGTGACACTCGCCCAGATGAACTATCTTTTCGACTATCGCCGGCCCTAGTTACCATACGACCATTCTCTGTAACGATGGTGGCAGATCATGTCTTTAACTGGAACTGGTGTTCTGACGGGCTGTCTATATGTAGATGCTTGGTCCCATACTCGGCCGTTTCCTTTCACAGGCTTCAACCGTTGAGTTTGTTGCTGGCCTTCGACTCGACACTCCCATTTCAGTGTCCAAAATGGACGCAAACACGACATATCACGAGGATGGGACCTTCCCGCCAGGAGACTCGAGCAGGTACCTCTTGGCTCACATTGGCAGTGACTGCCGCCCAAGAGAACATCGCCAGCACGGCGCTCGGGGCTGCTTCTTTGGTCACGTTGTTCTTCTGGTTCTTCATCTCTTATCAGACGTCTCCTCTGAAGAAGTATCCCGGTCCCGCTTGGGCAGGGTAGTAGTACTCTTTCTCTCTCTCACACGTCTTGTCTGACTCCAGAGTCCTAATAACTTGTAGGGTGGACTAATAACTTGTGGCGTCCTCGTCAAGTACTCTCGGGTGAATATGCACCTCGCATGAAGAAGCTCCATGAGAAGGAGGTATGGCCCGATTGTCCGGATCGGCCCTAACCTTCTGGACCCACCCACCGGGCAGCAGCGGCAGGACCTCCTGTACTGGGACCATATAGGTAAGCACCAAAGTGTAGACCTTCCACCACGGTTCAGTAGCCTACGTGGTAAGGCGCTGGGTCCAGAAAATGCGTTGGTATTTTCGTAGGTCTGCCATCTGGTCGGTTGAGTCCTCCTTAGTTGCGAGTTCGATTCCCGATCTTGTGGGGGCTGAGCTTTTTGTTTTTCTGTTTTTCTTCGTCCTTCATTTTCTACCTTGAGCATCGTCGACTGCGTTCACCTTTTTTTTCTTTTTTTCCTTTTTTCCTTTTTTTTTTTTTTTTTTTTTTTTTTTTTGGCCGGACGCTGATTCAACCGCGCTTTCTGACCTGCCCAGTCGGTGCATCAAAGAGTTCCCATTCCCCTTTTTCCTTTGCTTGGCAATCAATCTCCTTGCCCCAAATACCACACACAGACTGAAAGCTAACAAACGACAGTAAATCGCCGGCGCCGACACAACCGCCATCACCATGCGCGCCCTCTTCTACTATTAGTCCCTCAAAGACCCGCGCGTCTGGTCCAAGCTGCAATCCGCCGTTCGCCGCGGCGCCTCCGGCATCCAACCAACCGGGCAAACCCGCCCGCCCCTCACTCCGTCGCCCGCGCCATCCCCTCCTACCTCGAAGCCGTCATCCGCGAAGCCATCCGCTACCACACCGCCCATCTCCATGATCATGGAGCGGCATCGTCCCCGGCTCTGGTCTCGCCCTGCCCGATGGCTCCGTAGTCCCCGGCGGTTTCTTTGTCGGTATGAAACCCTTACATCGTTGGGCGTAACAAGGGCATTTTTGGGGAGGAGGAAGCGGATGTTTTTTTCAATCCCGATAGGTGGCTCCAAAAGCACGAGGAAGGAGAAAGCGATGAGCAGTCTAAGGAGCGCATGAGGGTTGTTTGAGACGGCGTCGATTGCGTTTTGGTGGCGGGTCGAGGATTTGTTTGGGGAGGAATCTGAGCCAGATGGAATGGAGCTGTATAAGGTTGTGCCGACCGACGCTGATTGCGACGTTTGATGTATTGAGCTGGTGAATAAGCAGGAGGAGTGGTGGTGGACTTGTTCGAGGTGGTTTTATCGGTGTAAAGGTGTGTGGTTTGTCGGTTGAAGGCGAGGAAGTGATTTGTGAGTTGGTGAGGTGAGGTGTCTAGGAGCCGGTGGTCGTGGTGGGTGGACGTAAGAGGTAGGTACCTTGTGTTTGTTGGATGCCGCAAATACGAACAACTTGAATATGTGATACCTCCTTCCTTCCAAAAGAGACCTCCCAAACCCAGTACTGGCTCAGCTCACTCACAAAGTAGCTATCCTCTTCCTCACCACCCTCCTCCCCACTACCTTCGCACTCACCCCTTTGACCACATTCCCGCCCCCATCCACCAGCCCCGGCACCGGCACAACAGCACCCACCGTAGGCGTAGGGTCCGTAGCCGCTCTACTCCTCGCCCTCGCCCTCCCCCTTTCCTCCTCCTTTTTCTCTCTCATCCCCTTCCCCACCCCCCTCTCCTTCCCCTTCCCCCCTTCCTTTCCCTTCTCCCCATCCTGCCCCCCAGAAGGACCATCCATCCCATGCATCCCCCTACACTCCTCACACAACCCAGCTTTAACCTCCCATCGCCTCCTAAACTTGGGCTCAGTAGCTTTGTATTCCGCGCACTGCGTTTCCTTGCCCACAATTACCTCACCCGTCTTACTACCAGCAGATGCTACTGCCAACGCTCTGCATTTGGCAAGGTAGCCGGGACAATGCTCCCATCGCTGATTCTCTTTGCCGGGGAGCGGGGTCCAGGCTTTGTGGCCCTGGAGAGCGGAGGGGAGGCGGGGGGTGAAACCTTTTTGGAAGTCGTCGTCCATGTCACCGTCGGTTGTGTTGTTGGTTTCTGGGGACTCGGCTGATGGGGGGGATGAGCTAGTAGTATCTGGTTTGGATGGGTTTGGGGGGGATGGTTGTGAGGAGAGGTTGGCGGTTGAAGAAGGTTCGCGGACGTGAATGTGGTGTGGACAGACGAGGGTGTTGCGGTGGGGGCAGGCGCATTTGAAGATTGTTAGGACGCGGATGCACATTTTGGACGGAGCTTTTGGGCCTTTTTCAGGCTGGAGCTAGGTAGGTAGGTGGTAGGGGATTTTTGGTGGTTTGGGGTTGGAATGTTGGAAGTTGGAGGAAGGTGCACGGATTTTTGGAAAGGAAAAGGTGAGACAGGTGAGGTGAGCCAGCTCATGTCATTCAGCTGAAAGTGGTGTTTCGAGTGTTTCGAGAAAACCTTGGATATCGAGACCCGAACGAATGGGGCCGTGAAACTTGTTCGTGCATTGCATGCCCGTTGTGGACAACGAGGTGGATACTTTTGGTTGGAGCGAATCAGAAGGTCCGGAGCGGTGGTCGAGGGCGCTTGTTTTTTTGCTTGTTTTCTTTTTTGATTCTTCAATTTGTATCAAAGAGTTTGTGAAAACTTGAGCTGAAATGAATCAATCACCTGGAAAAATCACCGTCGTGGAACAACATGTGTCACAGAGATCGGATGAAAAACTTTTGGATGTAAGAAAGTAAGAAACACCATGATCGACAAGGGTTAGGGTCCACGATCTTCAAAAAGTAAACAAACCCCCTTAACCGATGTGGACCTCGAACGATTGCCAATCCTTTAATGGTGCAAATGTATCATTTTTAGCGCGGCATGGGTTGTGGCCAATCGGCTGGCCTCGTTTCACCCACTTCTACATCTGTGACTATGTAGACACTTTGATCTTGCAAGCTTTTGCAGTACTTTTGTTATTACACTAGATGTAGAGTGCGAGAGGGTGGGGATGATACCAGAATCAACCAGTTAGTCTCATTTACTCAGCCACCTACGCATGGCCCTTGCGTCTCTTTGTACCTGCGGGTCCAAATGGTTGTGATATCCCCACCACACTCACCCACTCACCAATCCTAATGTCACACCATTTGGACCCACAGAGTACAAAGAGACTGCGCCACGTGTGGCGGCGGAGCGGATGGGGGCTGACATCGGAGCACGACTGTCATGAGAGACTACAACCAGTATATTTTAAGCCAAGATAGCAAGGGTCGCCAACGGAAGAGTTCAAAATCGTTGAAAGATTTCAATAACAATAAAGACTTGGTGATATTTTGCGTTTAACGGCTTAAGGACGGTGCAATTTGGTAAGTCTGTCTTGATACTTTAATAGACTATGTAAAACCGCTGATTTTAGCAGCAAAAAGGACACTTTTAACATCGTCGATCCTTTACATAGACGCGCCCGCTAGCGTTGCTTGGCTGGCAACCCAAGAATCCAGAAAGTCACCAAGTACTGCCGGTAGCTGTGGGGGCCGCTAAAAATGATACATTTGCACCGTTAAAGTGATCATCACCTTGCAACTCCTCCCCTAATGCTGCCTTCCACCACGGCCACCCTGCAATCTCCCCTCAACACATGCTCCCGTTACCCCAGGTACTCTCCACACTTTGACCAACTCAAGACCAGCACCCTCAAAGATCTTCCGAAACCCTTCCTCGGTCCGTTCCTTCCCTCCTATCGACATGACCCACTGATCCAACACCGCCGCCCCCAAGTCCGCCTCTCCCACCCGCTGCGGAAGTACCAGCTCGCAAACCAGGACTCGTGAATCGTGCGACATGGCCTCACCCAACCGAGAGAGCATCTGAGTAGCCACATCGTCGCAGAGATGGCGAAAGATCATTCGCATGAAGTATGCTTTTGCACCTAACAGCTCGAACGATGTTGGTTAGCGAATCCAGCAACCAGAATGATGCCTTTACGGTTTGTATGCAAATGTGGAACGTACCTCTAACAGACTGCCCCATAACATCATGAACCATAACCCTCACCCCCCGCGGCAATCCCGTCCCATTTCTCTGTCCAGCTCTCGCTAGCTCAACCACATCTTCTCTATAATCCTGCAAGACAATCCTCTCGGGGTTAAGCTGAGGGTGCGCATCCAAAATCTGCTTCAACACCGCTCCGTGGCCACCGCCAACGTCTACCAACTCTACCACTTCCTCTTCCTCTTCCTCGCTCGCAGCCAAAACCCCAAAATCAAAATGCCCCACGCACGGAACCATGACATCCAACCCTTTCATCCCCCTCTGAAACGTCTCCAGCCTCTCCGGATCCTGTCCCATAACTTCCCGAGCCGTCGCCCTGCCGTATTGCCCGTAAGCGAAGGTGAACGGGTTATGGAATGGGTCTTGGGGTTCGCGGGCGCCACGTGCCAAAGAGCTGGATGAGCCTGGTGGAAAGGAGGAGGAGAAGAAAGAGAAGGAGGAGGTGGAGGAGGAGGAGGGGTTTGAGGAGGAGGAGAAGGAGGAGGAGTGAGAGAAGGAATGAGAGGAGGAGGGCTGGTTCTGGCTCTGGTTCTGGTTACGGGCTAAGGCGGCGACGAAGGGGAGGTAGGAATCGGCGAACTTAAGCATGAGTTTTAAGTATTGGTTGTAGAGGGCTGTGAAGAGGTGGCCTGGTTTGGTCTCCTGTTGTTGGTTGGAAGGGATGGTGTAGGCGAGAGAGAATTTGGTGTGTTTGTATTTGTACCCGGAGTCGCCGCTGGACCCGTCTGGTGAGGGTTGGACTTGGTCGAGGAAGCCGGTTGCTACTAGGGGGCGAGCCATTCGTTCTTTGAGTGTAGAATGGGTTAGCAGTCAGTCGGGTCAGGAGTATGGAGAGGTTGATATTGAGAGGACTGGGAGAGGATTGAGTCTTACCCAGGAGTGAGTCCTGTGCTCTTGTGACTCTTGATAAGTCCTCTAGCGAGATCGAGCCGGTTTGGGGAATGGCTTCTAGGACTTTGAGCTTCATGAAGGTGTGGATGGCTACTAGTTCGGCCATCTATCCGTTGAGTTCTTGTGAGTAATGGAGCTTTGAGTGTGAGCGAATCATCCAAACTCACGTTTATCCCATGCTGGATGGGCATCTGCTCAGGCGCAGTCAGTGCCCGTACGAGTCTCTTGGCTTGGGCAGATATCTCCATGCGCCGGAGGTGGCTGTCGAGATCATTCGAATCACTGTAATCCTTGGCGACATTGTTCAAGCTGCTGAGGAGCGCTTCAAACTCTTGTTTGGATGGTAGGGCCATGGTTCGTTGACGGAGGTTATGTTGAATGTTAATTGTGAGGAGAAAGGTAAGGTTATGAAAATGTATCTGAAGCATCGATGACGACAATGAGAAGTTTCACGACGCTCTTACCCCTCCTTTCTTGTTCAACTGGGAAGTGACGATGGCAACCCAGGCGGCCGCTTCACAGGCTTGGCATACTCAAAGAGAGAAAGAAGGAGGCACAGATAAGAGGATTGCAACGTGCTACTAGTCCTGTGTGATGGAAACGCTTGAGCATCATCGAAACCCCATGTGTTCGTCTTCAATACCCTCATAAAATATTCAAGCCAATGCGCATTTCCATGACGTGCGTCTGCGTGTAAGACATCGCGTTCCCTATCGAAGCCTCCAAGTGCGCTTTGTTCGTAATCATAAGCCAAAATACCGCCAGCCCAAGCCAAGTCATCTCCCATGACGCTTTTAAACCCTATACCCAATGTCTTTTCCTCGCCTTTCTCCGAGGCTCTTTCCAAGCCCATCCAGAGATACCTTCAAGTCACTCACACTCACTCCTGCGCAACAACCGGCCTCACAACACTATCAAACAACCTCCTTTTCTTCTCACCTGCCTCCCCTCCCGTCCACTCCCTCTCCACCTCCCCCCACGCCTCCCACCACAACCTGTGCGTCGACTCAACCTTATCCTCCTCATCAAACTCGCGGCTTTCCCACGGCTTGTTCAGGATATAATGCAACACCTTGACGTCTTCATCCCTCCACAGGGAGGAGTGACAGTCCCGCATTGGTTTGAGGGCGTTGTAGATGTACGGCAGCGGCTTCCACTTGCCGCGGTAGACGATGGCGAGGATGTCCTGGTCGGGGAAGACCATGTGGGGAACGTCCGGGTGGGTGTTGATGGCGTTGATGAGGGCGTCGAATTGCGGTTTTGAGGGCGTGAGGACCACGGTGCCGCTGTTGAGGAGGTGGTGCGTGGGAGGGGAGGAGGGGGTGATGGGTGCTGGGGAGCCGGTGCGGTGGTTGGCGGAGGTGAAGGGACAGTTTTGGGGGATCCTGGGTGAGGATGTTAGCTGGATATGTTCTATTTTATGAAGATGATCGATAGGAAAGATATGATGGAATCGACAGGTGAACAAAGTTGAGGATAACATACCAATCCTTGGGATAATGGGCAATTTTGCGGGGATTGCAAGTGCAAGCGTGTGAGCATGCAATGTAGCCCTCTGGAAGATCTAGGGTCATCAAGTCGTCAATGTTTTGGAGAATGACTTGGTCGCTGTCGAGGAGGACGATTCTCTGGAGATGGTGTTAGTGGTTTGATACCTTGATGGAGAAAGTACCTACCTCATATTCGGTCATGGCCCATGGGGCCAGCTTCTGCCAAAATGCCTTGTTGACTTTGCCTTTTCGTGTAGGCTCGATATTTTGGATGACAATGGTGGGAATACCGGCAGCAGCAAAAGCGGCCATGAATTCCTTGTCGGCCTCGGCTTCACGGGTGACCATGATCTTGAGCTGGTACCTCGACCCCACCTTTTTCAAGGTGTGGTTGAGGACCAGAGCCCCGCCAAAGTACGCCCTCTTGGTTACGAGCGTACTCCAGATCTTGTTGGTAGGGTAATCAACCGTCATGGTGAGGGTGAGATGGACCAATGTAGAAGTGGATTCTCAAAAGATGTGGAGAGGTTCAAGGGCCTTGGGAAAAAGGCGATGTGCTCTTTTATCTATCTATCTGTTTTTATATCAGATGTCAGCAAGCTTGCACTATTACCCGAGATAGGGAAATGTTGCGAAGTCGGTTCCACGACGTCCTGGGGAGACGGAACGACGGCACTGGGATGGCTTAATCACGTCAGAGCACGGGATGTGATGTAGTCTCTTGGTGGAGGGGTACCTTATCCAGGATATAGCTCGGCTTCAGAGACTTGATTAGATGGCAATTCACAAACTGTTGTTTGTCAAAACGTGGAAAGATGTTGTTAGTTGACGCTCCTGCGTTTGGGGACACAGACAGTATTTGTACATATGCAGTACGGCGTACACCCGGACCCTGACTTATCCAAGCACAAAGGCACATGCAGTGGTGACCCGGTACGTTAGATGAAAACCTGAGTCGCGATGAACGGGCGTCATCATCCGTGGTCGTCCGAAAGTCGACCGATTGCGGCAAGGTTCCATTCGATTGCAGGCGCTCGCTTGTCAAGCGCGCATCAAAGGCTTTCCCCAAACGCAGGACCTCCCGCGATCGCGATCTTCTTTGATGTTCCGAAGAGTCCGGCGAAAAAAGAAACCCACTGCCAAGCGCGGCAAACCCCGTCCCTTCCATTTCTCGGTCAGAAAGAAGGGATCCCGGGTATAAGAAACACCGCAGAAGACGGGCCGAGCCGGACGACATGTTGTCGGAGGGTCCGGCGTTAAAGCCTAGCTTCCGATTATAATTTACATGTGATGTCATGCTGAAAAAGAGTTGCCAAAGTGAAGAAGATGATGCTAAACTGCAGAGAGTTAGAAGCGCCTATTGACTCAACCTCTGTCTGCCAACAGTAGCTGGTCCTAAATCGAGTTCGAAAATCAATAGTCAATTGTTGGTGGCAGAAGGTTGCTGAAGTCTTTGTCATGACCCATCTCGGTTTTCTCGACCCCGACAGATTCGAACGGCTAACGAAATGACCACTGACAGGGTGCGCCTTGCAAGGTCATCTTCCACACTGAGCATCGTTAGAGCTGTTAAGCAAACAGAGGGGCGCATTTGTTGTGAGAATCATCGTAACCACCGAGGTTGAGAGAAGGTGAAGTAAGGACAAGTCAGAATTCAACAAGTTCAAAATATTGTATGAAGACGGATGGTCCACGGGTTGCATTTGGAGGGGAATAAACATTGATAAGATAAGAGCTAGAGTTTACGGAGTCACGTGCAAGCAGAAGCACAGACCAGAAACAGCTCATCGAGGTCCACCACTTTCAAAATGCCCCACCAGCCTGATTGCTGCCCCGAGGAGTCGGGTTGTGATTGGCCCGTGCCCGACCTCTATTTCCATCAATTTGGCTGGCACTTGCTTTCGCTTGGCACTGCCCGTGTCAGAGGCAACTGAAGCAGTCCAGCAAGTGGGAGAAGACATCGACAAGTCTGCAGCCACTGGACTGAAGTGAACTTCTCCATCAACAACACTTTTCCGCAACCACTCTCCCTTGTCGCCTTTTTCCAATCTTTGCCTGCCGCGCATTCAGCTGCTCTTCTTTTCTCACGACCGTCTCTCTCTACTTTCCTCTCTACAACCGCGCCCACTTGTTGTTTGCGAACCCCAGACTTGCCGGCCAAAATGGGTGAATCACGGTGTGTACTACACCTCCCGAGTTGCTTGTCGCCCCGGCCACGCATCGCGCCGAGTCGGGGCCCAACAACAGTTCTCGAGACCTTCGACTGACCACGATCCATGTCTACAGTCAAGAGCTCCTTCAATGGATTAACAGCCTTCTGCAACTCAACCTGACCAAGGTTGAGCAGTGCGGTACTGGGTTAGTTTGCGATGCCCCTCCATCCGCCATCCGCCATCCGCCCCGCGCCCGACCCGTGAACGAGAGCCCCTTTTGCTAACCGCTCCCGACCCCCAACAGCGCCGCCCTTTGCCAGGTCTACGACAGCATCTTCGGCGATGTTCCCATGTCCCGTGTCAAGTTCAACGTGACCTCGGAATACGCCTACATCCAGAACTTCAAGATCCTCCAGAGTGAGTAGCCGGTTCCCCTGCCAAGCTGCACAGCGAGTTACTGACGACGGCCGCCTCCAGCCACCTTCACCAAGCACCAGATCGAAAAGTCCATCCCCATCGAGGCGCTTGTAAAATGCAAGATGCAGGACAACCTCGACTTCCTGCAGTGGACCAAGAGGTTCTGGGATCAATACTACCCCGGCGGTGATTACGATGCTGCTGCCCGTCGCAAGGGTGGCGCTATGCCTGCCAGCATGAGCGGTACCTCTCGCGCTTCCGCTGGTTCGGCTGCCGCGAGACGTCCCGGCGGTGCCACTCCCACCGGTGGTCCCCGTGTCGCTGCCAGAGCCCCCGCTGCTAGCTCCGCCGCCACCCAGGCTCTCCAGCAGGAGGTCGCGACTCTCAAGGAGGCCGTCGGCGGCCTGGAGCGCGAGCGCGACTTCTACTTCCACAAGTTGCGCGACATCGAGGTTCTTGTTCAGGGTGCGGTCGAGGAGGACCCCGAGCTCGAGAAGCAGGAGGACGGTCTCATCAAGGCCATCCAGGCTATCCTCTACTCGACCGAGGAGGGCTTCGAGATTCCTGAGGCCGACGCCGACGCCGCCGACGATCAGGAAACCTTCTAAACATATCACACATTGGTTTAACGACTATGGCGTCAACTGCGACGCGACCTGCTCACTGAGATAGGCTGAGAGCAGCGCCGCGCAGTTTGGAGATGGGTTGCGCAGAGGCAGAAGTATTAATGGTGTTGTTATTTGGCTCGGGATCACGCATTGCGGACTACAAGGGTTGCTATTCTGTTGCTATTGTTGGTGGGCACATTGCGTGGTGTATCAGGGAAAGGGGGCGGGTCTGATACTAGTGGGCTCTCTTTAAGCATAACAAAGGGACCCTTTTTTATACATTTGGGACGGACAGCATGTGGTATGTATGGGATGGGGTTGATCCTCTGCTCTATACCCCCCTCTCTTTGCACGGATTTGCAATATTTACAATAGGGTCCTTTGCTCCATGGACACCAGCTGGGTCGGGCGTTTTCAGCATAGTCCACACGCACTGCAACTCGCACATACTACGAAGACTTGACGGTAGATAAAAGCTATCTGGGTATCTTTTTTTCCTGCGTCGTGAGCCTGACGGCTTGAGTGGTAGTGGTGAGATTCTAGGCAGAAGAAACGTTGCTCGCATGATTGCCTGTAAGAATGTGATTGATGCCTCGTGTTTTTGACCCGAGGAGTGCATGTGTGTTACAATGTCTGAAAAACGAATCAATCGCTCCCTTGAGATCTACACAGCCGTCCCGAACATCTTCCACTCGGGGGACGAAGAAAGGCACGGGGTGCTATCGCTGCAAAGAGGATCCCGAAGGAGTCGGGGTAGACAATGGGGATCATGTCGTTCGGAGACCCGTTAGCCACGCCACGTACCTTGCTGGGGCCGGAAAGGCCCGCCCGGAGTTGGGCTGGGCTCGCCTGTTGGCGCTTAACTCATCCAGGCACTAAACGCCAGCGAACCCTGTTAGGCAGTGACGCTGTGGATAGCATCGCATCCGGTCTCTGCCGTCCACGCAATGACACACCCGACTCAAGCACGGCCAACCACCAATCGATCTGAGCTGCAGTCTGCACTGCATTGACAACAACCACTGCATTTTACCCCAATCTGATTCTCCAAACAACATCAAAACACCAAACTGATCCCGACCTCGGATTACGACACACTTTCTCTTCCTCTTTTTTGTCTTTCTCTCCCACTTTTTTTTTGCATTGGGCATCGCGTCTGCTTCTTTGATCTTGCAAGAGATACCCGTCACTTTGTTCAAGTCATTTTGAAGCGCTTTGTCAGCATTGAAACGATCTCATCATCCCAGCCATCCACACAGCACTGGCGATTCATCACCTACCATCAGTGCTGCCTGCCAGCCCTGTTGACGTTCTGTCCACACAGATCAGGACAACCCATCCGATCCGTATCTACCGACGAAAACCCTTGCCTTTTCAAGTCGGCTATCGGTATCCAAACAAGCCAAGACATTCACGACGCTTCTCTTCTCGCACTACTCGTCCGGGCTAGAGCCTCTCCGGCCGATCGCATCGTGTCACAGTCACACGACCAAACTCCCCGAGTGACCTGAAAACTGCTGCCTTTCATCATCGCAGGGTCGTCAGTCTATGATCTGAACATCAACAACACTACACGAACTTCATCACCCCGACAACAACTATCACAACACAAACAAGCAACCGAAGATCCCGGCCATAGACAACGGCAACGGCAACCATGGCCCCCCCAGCCGAGATCTCCATCCCCACAACCTCCATATCCACCCCCTCCTCTTCTTCCGAGTCCGGTGGCTCCTCAAAACCCTTCACCCTCTACAACATCACCCTCCGCCTGCCCCTCCGCTCCTTCGTCGTCCAAAAGCGCTACTCCGACTTCCTCGCCCTGCACCAAGCCCTCACCTCCCTCGTCGGTTCCCCGCCTCCCGAACCCTTGCCCGCCAAAAACTGGTTCAAATCCACCGTCAACTCCCCCGAGCTGACGGAAAAGCGCCGCGTCGGTCTAGAGCGCTACCTCCGCGCCATCGCCGAGCCGCCCGATCGTCGGTGGCGCGATACCCCCGTCTGGCGCGCGTTTTTGAACCTCCCCGGGGGTGCCGGTGGCAATGCTGCCGCTAGCACGACCGGCAGCGGCAGCGGAATTGAGGGAAAGATCCCCGCTATAGGACTTAAAGACGCTAACCTCGCTGCTGCCAGCGATCCGGGCACGTGGCTGGATCTGCACCGCGAGCTGAAGGGCGCACTGCACGAGGCGCGCGTGGCGCTGGGGCGGAGGGATGGGGCGACGGAGAATATGACCAAGCTCGAGGCGGGCGCAGCGGCGAAGAGGGCGCTGGTTAGGGCGGGCAGTTTGTTGGGCGCGTTGCAGGAGGGGTTGGGGGTGTTGAAGAGCTCTGGGAGGGTGGGCGAGGGGGAGTTGAGGAGGCGAAGGGATTTACTGGCGGCGGCGAGGGTGGAGAGGGATGGGTTGGACAAACTCAGTTCGAGTCTGGCGCATGCGAGCAGGGAGGCGGCGAGGCAGGCTTCGATTAGTGGGCCGTCGGGGAGTGGGAGTAGTAGTGGGGAGGCCGGGGAGAGAGCCAAGTTGTTTGCTGGGTCTTCTGGTGCTGGCGGCGGGTCGGTGAGAGGAGGGAGGGTGTTGGGTGCGCCGCTGCCGGAGACGGAAAGGACGAGGGAGTTGGATAATGAGGGGGTGCTGCAGCTGCAGAGGGATACGATGCGCGATCAGGATATGGAGGTGGAGGCGCTGGCGAGGATTGTGCGGAGGCAGAAGGAGATGGGGCTGGCTATTAACGACGAGGTTGAGCGGCAGACGAACATGCTGGATACCCTTAACACTAATGTCGATGTGGTGGATAAGAAGTTGAGGGTCGCCAAGGGACGGGTCAAGAGGCTTGGTTGACGTGAGGCGCCGCCTACCGAGGGGGATCATGGAGCTTTTGAAGAGGAGCATGAGCAGGGTGGTGATGATGACAGCTTCAACAGGATGATCTTTGTCATGTCAAGCGAGGAAAGTTCCGTGGCCGAGGCTGTCGTTCTTCCCACAGTGGTACAAGGAGAGCAACAGGATGAGGTTCTTCACAAGGTCCGACACGGGCGCTTACAACTACGACGAGACCTATGGCTGTATGAATCATTACCAGATGCCAACGACGGAGACGACCGCAGCAGCATCAAGAACGAAAAGAGTAGGATGACAAAATCACCACAACAACAAGAGGACAAAGGAGAAAGGGAAAGAAAGGAAGAAGGAGCAGTGAAGGGTAGGCCCTCGGGAGGCGGCGGCGAAGAAGGTAACATGTTCGACGCCGTCCTTTTGCTTTGTGTCAAGGGCGTTCTCGCCGGCGTCCAGGGGTTCTGGTTGTTGCAGTGGGTGTTGGGAGGGTTGTCGGATGTGCTCACTCGCGTGGTGGAGTTTGGCCTACTTCTTTTGGGACAACCTACGGAGTCATTTGGTTGATTCATCACTCTTTCCCTTTTGACAAACTCTCTTGCTACGGAGATGCTTTTCTTTTTGTTTGAGGAGTATTGGGTTGTTGTTTGAGTGTCCTGTTTACCTTACCGTTTGGCTTATATGTCTGTCATTCATTACAGTTTACAGCGTAGTGGATATATCACTTGGAGACCGGTAGAAATGCTGTTCTCATCATATAGCGTAGAACAGATGTTGATCAAATTGTTCCTTGCCTGTCCTGTCTGAAGACGATGTCACGAAGCACACCTTCCAAAAAGACCTTGAACGACCTCGTGTTGTATGAGGCAGGCGGCGAGTTTGGCGTGGCTGGGCCCTTCCAGCGGCATGACCTACTGGGACCATATAAGCATCAAAGTGTAGACCTTCCACCACGGTCCAGTAGCCTATGTGGTAGATATCGTGACCCTACAGTGCATCACACCTATAATGCATCATATGTAATATCATGACCAGGAATTAGATAATATCGAAAATAGGCCAGTTTTGCAGGGATTTCAACCGTTTAAAATATTTATTTACTCATTCTAATGTTCATGAATAGTCTGTGGTATTGATGCGAGTACTCTCTCTACTGCCTGCACTGGGTTTACTGTCGTCGTTGCCCTAGTAACTTTCCTTCGTTTGGGGGCCTCCTTTAAGGCATTATGAACTTCTAGAATCTCCTCTATACGTGTAAATTTATTATTATCCCTTTTTTTAACCTTCTTTTTAATTTTGGACTTTTCGGATGCTAGTTTAGTCTATAAATATTAAATTTAGTAGTTGAGTGCAACGAATTTAGCGTTCTTATTATCGAGGGCTTTAGCTACTTTAGTATAAATAGTACGAAAATTACGACCGATATTAAATAATTTGTTCTAAATGCTATCTAATATATCTTTAAATTTTTAGAGGGTTTTAAAGAGGTAATTAGCCTTTAATACTTCGTCCCTAAGTAGTATTTTAGGTAATAATGGTTGGGCGGGCAAGGTATTATTATTAAGGACGGCCTTAGCGTTGTTAATAATAATAGATTTATTTATTAATTATATCTTTATCTTTTTAAACCCTATTTTAAGGTTTCTAGAATTTACGCCCCTTTGTAAAGCTTCTTAATAATATTTAAAAAAAAACTATTGTTTATTTATTGGCGTAGATGCTAAAAAGGAAGCAAAATCCTTCGTTAAATCCTTAAAATAGGACTTTATAATTGAAAAGATAGAGTAGTCGAAAGGTTAGGTTTTATATAACGTATAAGGAAATAGAAAGAGGAACTAGACTTTATAATAGAAATATTTTAAAAGGAAATTGTTAATTAAGTAGTTAAAATACTTATTAAGGATTAGAAAGCGCTATTTATTATTATTGAACTTAGTTTTAAATAAATAAACTTCTTTTAATTATTATAAGGCTACTTAAGTATTATTCTAGCCAGTAAGGGAATTATCGTACTTCTAAGCTTTGAGTTCGTTATCTATATCGTTAAGGAATTATTATCCTTAGAGGTTAGTACTAGTAAAGATAATAATAAGTATTAACCACTTGCTTTCGGCTATACTGCACTTAATTATAGATACTTAGGTAATTATATTAATCATTAATAAGTATACCTTTTTTATTAGGGTAATTTTAAAGACCTTCCCATTTTTGGATTCTAATTTTTAAATATTATATTCGTTTATATTAGCGATATTAACTAGGAAAATAGCCTTATCTCAAATCTAGGATTCTAAAAGGTCGAAGAATTTTATAAAGGCCTCCTTAATAAATCCTTTAACCTTCGCTAACTCGAGCGGGTTCAAAAGTTTAGTCTTAATATTAGAATTTCTCTTTAGGAATCAATTTATCTACTGGGTTCTTAGATTTTGTAATTATAGCTTTATTTGAAGATAAATAAGGCGAACTTAACGATTTAATGATAGTTGGGAGTACGGTTAACCTTCTCTTTATTTAATATTTATTTGTGGATGAACCCTTCTTATAATAGTAATAGCCGTTGAATGGAAATTTTGGCGTTGCGCTTTAATATAGCACCCTGTAAGCTCTAGGATAAAGTAAATTGGGCAACGCTATATTATTTCGATATAGTACGTTGGGATAGGCTATTATAAATAGTTTTAATAACCTAATTAATTAAGCAGTCCTTTACCGAGTTCATCACGCCCGTTTTGAGTGCAATCAAGGTTGATTTGATGAAATGGTAGTTGTTCTTAGAAGAAGGGTGGTAATATTGAATGGGGGGAAAACGCGATGTAGGACGCGATGCATTGTGGGGGGGGATGTATTGTGGGGTCACTGCTTCTAGTGCGCTGGGTCTAGAAAATGCGTGGTATTTTCGTAGGTCTATACCTTACTCGTGTAGAGTTGACTCATCTCGAGTTCGATTCCGAGCTTGGGCGGGCTGAGCGTTTTGTTTTTTTGGTTTCCTTCGTCCTTCATTTTCTACCTAAAACATCTTTGAATGTCAATTGCGTTCCTTTTTTTCTTGTACCGGACGCCGATTCAACAGCGATTCTGAATCCGCCCGGGGCTCCCAGCCATGTGGTTACAGTGGTTTACCCTCGTACCCTGTAATTCAGAGGTCCCTGTTACGTCACGGATGGGGACAGGTCTTTTTTTACGTGAGACGGTTGCCTAGCAACGGTTGGGCTCCTCTCTTGTCACTTTGTGAGTTTGAACTTCCCTCCACCATGATGCGGATTTCCAAAGCTCCGTTGAAGAAGACTGGTGGTATCAACAGCTTGACTACTCTGTCTTGAAAGCATAGTAAGAAGGGAATGTTAGAAGAAATCTGTTTGCAGAGAGCAATTGTCGAACAAGGGCCAAGCCGCGCCGGTTAGCCTGGGCTTGTTTCGAAACTTTCGTCACGTCAGCGCTTCGCTAACAGGTCTCAGGCGGAGGCTGTTCACAGCCTGTCACTGTGAAGACGCCGATTTGGCGGTAGATGATTTGTTACAGATTGTGCAACGTTGTGTTAATTGATCCATCTGGAACATAACGATTATGGAATATACTTTCCGCTTCACCATCGTATTGGAGACGGGCTCCTGCTTTCCCCCCGGGGAGCAAGAAGGACATGGCAAAAGCAGGGACAGTACAAACTACAAGTACACGTGCCAGTTCAGCTGCTGACTGCGCCAGCACGGCGAGGTTGTCACCCCGCCCCCTGTACTCCACCGAGCCCACCTGCCGCGCAGCCCAAAACTCCACTGGTTCCTGTCGGTCAATTGGTGAGAAAACCCACTGTACAAGTAAAGTAAACAACGGAATCGGAGCACCTTCCACTGTCTTCCACTTCCAGGCACTTCACTTGCAGTTTCCCATTCACTGCAACCAACAAGCAGGGCGTCACACAAACTGCAACCGCGCAATCCTCTTGTGGCTAGCTTCCCGAATTTCCTTTTCCCCTGCTGCCTTCTTCACAGCCTCCTCCTCCTCCAACCCAGAGAAAGGACAAGTTGAACTTCAACGGCTGTATGCGCCGGCCACCGACATTAAATCTTGTCCTATACCATACCACAGCCTTTTCTGGTCGGGTGACGACAACGGCAACCATCGCAGTCCTACGACACCGTCTAGCTCAACGCAACTCCGATCTTGACGTTGGACGACGACGTTCGACCGCAACGAAACCGGAGATGTAAGCCCACCATCCTTTCGACCTTGAGGTGTCGCACGTCTTCGCAAGCTGTCAACAGCGCCTTTGGTGCGCCGGCTGCTGCATGTCTCTGCGCTTTTGTCCCTTTCGCGTATTCCGGGTTACACTGACGACTGAGGCTGACACATGGCAGATCTCTGCCGACTTTTAGACTTCTCGTCCGCCTTCATGGCTGTCCTGAATTACTATAGAACCACCCCATTCTGATACCTCGAGGCGCCGCCATCTTTCGCAAACCTCTCCGACCTCAGCGACGGTCGCTACCGAGCGGCATCCCCGAAGACACATCGGTAACGGCGTGGCTCCAAGATGGACGAGCCACAGCCGCCTCCCCCACCGCCTCACGGCAAAAACCCAAAGACATCTTCGGGCCCCAACGGTCTTCCTGCTGGAAAGTATGATGTCTTCATCATACCTGAACACTCTGCTGGTGCAGGTTTCCTCTACCTACCCTCCCTACAACCGCAATGGAACAGCTTCTGTGCTGGTGTTGTCTCGACCCTCGCCGCACTACTGCTGGGGAAAGCACTAACTCCGGCGTTCCTATCATGGTGGCACAGCGGAATCGGAACCGTTGGAATGTCCATCCTCTTGGTTGCCGTAGCGGTCGGGTCTTGGTCGCTCGGTCGATCGTCGAGCAACGTAAAATTGGGGTCGGGTAGCGATTGGCACAAGACGACAGGCGAATTCGGTGCCTCTGGAGCATTCAAGACGGCACCTGCTAGCGAGGGTCCTAAGCCCACCCAAGAAGCGCCGCCCCGACCCCCAACGCCGCCGACCGATCCTGAGACTCCGGCCGATGAGTGGTCGCGTCCCTTGTGGAAGGAGAAAAAGGACCCTGAGCCTGAATCACATGTTGAACCCGAGCCGGAGTCGGAGCCCAAGGCCAAGCACAGGCCACAATCTCCAACGCAAACTCGATCGCACAAGAGACCGCAGTCTCCTACCCAGACTAGGTCCCACAAGAGACCACAGTCTCCGACCCAGACTCGATCCCATACTAAGTCGCAGTCCAAATCCCACTTCAAAACTCAGGCAAGATCACAGCCAAAACCCCAGCCACCGCCAGAGCCTGAGCTTCGTCCGGAAGATGATCCGGACTATGAACAGGAGCCAGTGCCGGAACCGCCTAGACAGGAACCAGTCGACTCCCAAGAGCCTCCGCATGGGCCTCCCACTCCTCTTGACCCTGAAAATTCGACCAAGTCTGAAGTTTCCTCCAAAGGCGCCTGGGAAAAGGCAAGAGAGGAGACTAGGAGGCGAGAGGAGGAGCGTAAGGCACGGGAGGCCGAGCTCAAGAGGCGTGAGGATGCGGCTCGCCGTCTGCGTGAGCTTCGGGAACGTGATGCGCGTGAGCGCGAGAAACGGGAGAAGGAGGCCCGTGAGAGGGAAGAAAGAGAGAGGGAGCGCAAGGAGCAAGAGGCTCTGGAGAAAGAGCGCCTGGAGCGCGAGATTAGGGAAAAGGTGGAGCGTGAACTGCGCCAAAAGGCCGAGTGGGAAGCCAAGGAACTCGCTGCTATAGAAAAGGAGCGCCTGGCAAGAGAACGGGAGGGGAAAGAGCGAGAGCGCCAAATCAAGCTCGAACAAGAAGCCCGTCAACGCGAGCGGGAACGACTCCTGCGCGAGCAGTTAACTCGTGAACGCGAGGCTAGGGAGCGTGAAGCCAAGGAACGCGAGGAAAAAGAACGCGAAGCCAAGGAGCGCGAACTACGAGAAGCCCGTGAGCGGGAGGAACTGAGACAAAAGGACGAGGCCATAAGGCTTGAGGAGGAAAGGAAACGGCTTGAGAGGGACCGGCGAGAAGCAAAGGACCGTGAAATTCGGGAAGCCATAATGCGAAGGGAACGGGAGGCTCGCGAAGCCCGCGAAGCACAAGAACAGAGGGAGCGGGAGGAGCGCCTTGAGCAGCTTCGACGGGAAGACGAGGAGATGGAAAAGGAGAAGGAGAGGCTTGCGCGCAAGGAAACACCTTACGCTATGCCAAAGGTTGGCGAGAAGACCAGCTTGTGGCCTAACGGTAGGCCGCCTTCCATCGTCACACCTTCTGCCACTGCTTCGCAGACTTCTCATGCTTCTACCGCCCGTACTTCGACCCCTCGCGCATCGCCCGCGCCTCCCCATTCTCCCACGAAATCGCCTAACCCAGCGGCAGCGAGGACGGAATCACCAAAGCCCGCATCCCCCAGACCAGCGTCGAGTGCAACAGGCACTGCTGACGAGTACTCTTACCGGCCATACGACAAACCTAAGAACCATGCCGCAGCCCGGAAGAAGTCCGTCTCAGACTTCTCAGAAGACTCCTTTGCGCCCTCCGCTACCACGAACAATACCAGTCCTCCACCCTCGATGCGTGCGCCCTACCATACGGATGATCCTGGCAAGATTGTTATTAAGGCAGTATATAACTTCGTCAACCAATTCTCGAAGACCCCCGCTTCACAGCTCATCTCCGGCGTAGGTACCGTCACTGACGGCCTGATTCTGCGTATTTCTACCGCTGGTCTCTTTGTAGACGACGACGTCCGCGGTGTAGCCCAGCGAGAATGGGACATCAAGGCTTGGACCCTCAAGCAAGTCGAGGTCTGGTGTCCCGTGTTGGCCGCCAGCTCTTCCAATGGCACGGGCATCGCCTCGGGCGCCATCCCTCCGTCGCATCCGCTCTTCAAGATGATGCCAACCAGCAGTGCGATGCGGCGCGCGGCCGAGAAGGCCGCTACCAGAGCCTTCAACGGCGAAGAGGCCGTTGCATACCTGAACGAATTGGGCACGTGCTGCAGCACGACCTGCCGATTGGGGCTGAACGCTAATAGCTCGGGCTCTTCGGCTATCGGATCGGCTGCGTCACAGGACGCAGAGGGATGGAAGTTCAGGGGACTCCATCTTCTCAGAACGTCGATTCGTGATCAGGAAGGGAAGCGGTTCCTCTTCGTGGTCGGTGAAGAGGAAGCCTGGAAGATTGTGAAGGGTCTTCAGTCGCTTCGGAGCGGTAGCCAGGCTCGGGCTGTCGCGGTTTCTGGCTTCAGTGGCATCGAGGCAAAGGGCATTCTCGAGACACTGGGTTGGGGTTAGTATGTCCGGACCTAAAATGTCTGAGTAATGTTCATATCGGTTGGCGAAGATGATGATTGATGGGTTTGATCTTGTAATGTTCGGTTGCCTGTTTGTTGAGCGATATACCCAAAACTTTGGCTAGCAAGTTTCTGGTTGAGAAGAGGAGGGTATTTGAGGGAGAGGATGTAATGAGTTACGATGTTGTGTATTTGTATTTGGAAGGAATGACGGAATGATGATCATGGGTCCATTTCGTTGTATTGGTTGCATGACAACCACTGGCGCATTCCAATGACATAAGACGGTACTTCATGGCACATTTGATGTCTAAGTAATGAAGAGCCTAAAAAACACAAGATACCATCTCAAGTGACTTGGTCCCCACGCCCCATTCACGTAGCAACCCGTCTTGGATACCACTTCTCGTTCAAACTACAAGGAATTATCTTGGCCGAAATATCACAAGTACAATCATTTTCGTGTACTTAGCCCAACTACAAGTCAAAACCTTCAAGTAGATGAACCACACAAGCGATCTGAATAACAACCATGCCTGGTTTTCTTTCACTCATTCTTCCCCTTCTCAAATCTCCACTCCTTCTTCGCCCTCGAGAAAATAGGACAAAGCAGCCCTGAACTCCGCCCCGGTTCATTCTTTAGGTCCCCTCAAATCAACTTCAATATTCAACGAACTCTTCGCCAAAGTCTCCCCGTCCAAGTCATCCTCAAAGTCCTTCAATCTCGACCCTTGCTTCACCTCTGCTGCCTTCTCATCTTCTTCTGAAGACATCCACATCTTATGAAGCTTCTTCTTCTCGGCTGTTTCCTTGTCGTTGTCATCGGCAGGAAGTGGGAAGCATAATGGACCGGGTTGGACTGAGGTGGGGAGACCTGAGGCTGTGAGGGCTTGGGTGACGAGGGTGATGAGGTTTTTGTCGGTCACTTGTGGTTCGGGGTGTGTTAGTGAGGGTTGCTGTGGTGGAAAGGTGGTGGGAAGGTGGTGGAAGGGGTGGGAGGTGAGTAGAGAGGCGGTGGAAAGGTGATGGAATGGTGGTGGAAGGGGCGGGACGAGAGGGGGGGGATGGATGAACAGAAAGAGGCGGTGGTGATGGTAAATGTATGTAATGTCAACTAACTTCGTGGTCCTATCACAGACGCGACGACGGGCGTGTATGTCTGTTCATCACCTAGCCATCCACCTGGTTTCTGCGTGACTATTTATTGAGATGTATATGTCAGTGTTGTGTACTGGACTGGTGGTACCTCTAAACGATGTGATCAAAGAGATATAGTGTAGGGGTTGCATACATGGTACCGAAAGCTGTGGTGTCGCCGTGTGGGGAGATAACATGCTAAGATTCAGCAGAAAAACTTGTCAGTGATATTTCAACAACGCCGACTAGGTCATACTGGAATGGGCGGGCGACTACTCACTCCTCGAACGCAAGCATCCGTCCAAAGAACCCTATAATATGACCCTTGTGAAAACTGACATCCGGGATGACGATGATGGTATCGCCGGTGCCTGTGGAGGTGTCTTCTGACTTGAGGATGTGCTGCCCAAACCAGTCCCGGAAGGTCTTGACTTGTTCTTGCAGTTGTTTGTGCTGCTTTAAGCAGGCACGGGCTGAGGACCTGTATAGCAGTCAGCTTTGTGTTAGAAGCATGCTTCAGGTTGGTGGTGTAATGGTCATGGTCGGGGAGAAGGAAGAATGTTACTTACCATAGAACCTGTGCCTCGAGATTGGCAATTCCACGGCTGGAGTGGAACTTTTCTTGGTAGTCTTCTCGGAAGTTGGCGTATTCGTGGTAGTGGTTTAGGTCGTACAAAAGTCGTGCGGTCTTTGAAGAATGGATGGTTTTTGTTGTTAGCTCAGGATGCGAGGGTGGGTGAAGAATCAAACTTGTAGGTAGCTAGGTATGGGTCTGTGATGGGGACAATTATAAAGATAAGAATTTTGAGAACTTACCTTACTAAGAGAAAACTCCAAGCCACTCTTCACCCGGTACTTCTCCCACTCTTCATCGAGGTTGACGGTCGTTCTTTCCACCTTCAAATGGCGTTCGAGTGCACTAACGAACACATCCATTGCATATTCCAACTTTTGATCCTTGACGTAGTCAAGATAGACAATCCTTTTCACAGCGTTGCCGCTTGACTCCTTTCCTGAACCAACAACAGGGGGAAACGTACACCCGGCCACGAGAGACAAATCATGTAAGCTCCGACCAAAGATACCCACGTTATCATTCGGTCCCGGGTTTGACTTCTCAGGTTCTCCGTTAAATGGACGTCGAAGACCATAGAGCCCGTATCTCTTCCCCGATTCCCGTACATCACTATCCACTACATTTTCGCAGCGTGTTAGCCAGCCTCCATACCTAGAGTCTTCTTGATAGTTGTACTCACCATCCCCCCCAACCGCCCCCTCAACCCACTCATACCCCGCCACCGCACTCACCCCCCCGACCCCCGTCCCCCTGCCACAATCAAAGATATCCCCCCTCCTCGCCGCCCTTGGGTTAGCAGGGAAATGCGTCTCCGGCCAAAGACTGTTCCCAATCCTCAGCTGGCTAGTCTTGGTCTTTCCCACCAGCACCGCGCCCTCTTGCAAAAGCTTTTGCACGTAGGAACCAGTCTTCTCCGTGGCGGGCGGGTAGGTGTCTACCCAGGCTTTGCAGGAGAGAGTCGTTTGTGTGCCAAGGAGGGAGAGGCCGTCGGTTAGGGCGATTCGTTTTCCCAAGAGGGGTCGTCCTTTGGATGGTGTTCTGATGTAGTAATGGCGGCTGGGAACGGGGATTGTTTTGGACATGCTATCTGAAGCGGCGAGAAAGGAGACTGCTTTGAAACTAGAGGTAGATGGGTTGTTGACGTCGTTTGGGATCATGCCGTAGACGAAGGCGTCTTGGGTGTCGGGGTATAAGCGGTAGGCTTGGTGGAGGTTTGGGCCGCTGAGGAAGTAGGGGCCTGAGGGGAGGAGGTTGTCGTCATCATCTTCGACTTCGGGGTTTTCTGTTGTGCAGGATGTATGAACCGTTTGTTGTTGCAGGCGGTAACCGGTTGCTTTGCACCACGTGGAAAAAGAACCGACATTCTTTTTCTCTGTGGATAGGCTGTTGTTGTTGTTGTTGTTGCTCTTCCTTGATGGCTTTTCAACCAGGATGTCGGTGAAACTGGGCGAGCATACATCGTCTGTATCAACGTAGTACTGGAGAAGCTGGCCGATTTGCTCTGGTGTGCCGTTAAGCTCTTCTTCAGTCAGGAGGAGCACGGGGATCACCTGGTCAGCTTTGATCGGTGCTTCTGTACTTCCCTGTGACACAAGTGTTAGTAACAATCTCGACTATCGGGATCCGGAGAGGAAGGCTTACCAGAACTTGGGGGTGAAGCAGATATTGGATGCCATCGACCTCGCATGTTATGAGATTGGGTACCGACATCTTGGTCTACTTGACTCTACCTCGTCAAGCCGTTACCGATTATGAGATACACGGGATGAAAGACGAGAGATGGGATGGTTAAAGTTGATGGATGAGTTATCAATTAAGTGAAGAAGCGCTGAGACCATGCTCGATGATGTGGAAGCGGGGTTGGCGTCTTTATAGCGGCACTTACTACAGTGGGTAACACAAAAAAACGCCCAGTCCATTTTCCGACCTCCACCCTAGCCATGACTATGACTTTTCAGATGTACACCATAACCGCATTTCTTAATAAAAATGGCCAAAAAGTAGTTATTAGATACTTTAGATGATAAGGATTAAAAGGATCTAATTTTAATACTTGGTGTACTATCCCTTGGCATTGATAACGGCCTGAACCCTGTTAGGTATATTATCTATTAAGGTATTTACTACTTCTATTTCTAAGTCTAACTATACTTTCGAAGAGGTATTAATTAACCGTTCGATTACTATATCGCTTTTAGGTATAGTTAATAATTCTAAGAACCCCTTTATTATCCTATCCTTTAGTAAACTTTCGATAGAGTTAAGGTTAAGTAAATAAGGAGGCTATAATAGAATTTTGAACCTTATTTCCTCGAGCTACTCTTTTACCAATTTTGAGGTGTAGATAGGAGTATTATTTTGTATAAAGATAATATTTAGTTTTATTACTTTTAGTAATTCCTTTTTAGGGATTTTCTTATAAATTTAAATTGTTACTCCTCCTTTTTTAGCTTTAGGGTCCCCGGAATAAATTATTAATTTACTTTTTTATTTTATAATAAGTTATACCCTAAAATATTTATAAATAATATCAGGTCGCTAGGGACCTGTCAGGCGTTGGACCCGTACTAACACCGAAGAGCGCCGATGTCCATACAGTATAGCGCCGCAATGTAGCGTCGGAACAGTTCGGAGTTATTGCGGACTTAGTTACTATAGAATAGAATTTACAACGATATAAATAATTGGTCGAATTCGCTTCTAAAATTATTAGGGTTAGTTATTAATATATCTTTAGTCCTCCCCTTACTTTAATGTCCCCTACGTACTTACGCTATCCTTAGGCATTTTAACTTACCTTCTTCTATAATCCTAATATATTAATAACTCTTCCTATAGGAATTAAGCCGTTACCGATAGAATATAAATACGTAGCGGACGATCCGTCTTTCGGACCGCCGAAGAAACCCCTCCTTCTATTTCCGGTACGTAAGAATTATTTATTACCCCTTTTACTGTAGCTAATAAGAACCTTTAATAATAGCCTTCTCTTTCGTCCTAATATTGTTAACCGATTATTAAAGAAGTAGACGATAATAATTCGGATAGTAACCGTTCTTTTACCTCCTTGTATATTTCGTACAATCTCCTCTACTATTTAAAGAACGATACTATAGTATAAAAATAAAAATTCTTTGAATTCCGTATAACGGTTATTAAATTACTTTTAATTTACTTCCTATCCTATATATTTTTTTATAATTAGAATAATTTTATAAACTTATTAGAATAAAATTAATTTAGCAATTACCTTCCTATTCTTTTCCGATTCCGCTATTAGGATTATTTCTTCTATAATTAAGCGCGTTTTTCGACCCTCTCTATTCCTATTATCGCTCTCTAAATTGTAGTACTTATTATTTCTATATCTACCTAACCGACGTAGCCTACTACTTTATTTAAATATTATTCTAAATTTAAAATTTTTAAATTTACTAGCGAAAATTCCTCCTAATTACGTAATTTGATTTTTAATATTAACGATTATTACTTCGAATACCCCTAAATACTCCTTTCTTTCGCTATTAATTATATTGAAAGTAATTTCAAGAACGTATAAATTAAATATATTATAGCCTTAAAAAAGAAAGTCGACTATAACCCTATCTATAACGCTCCTATTTAGAAAAACCTATATATTTTTTTTGAAAAAGGAATATAATAATAATACCTAAATTATTGAACGTTCCGTCCTTACTATTTTTGAGCGTATATGATAAGGCGCTACCGAAATTATTCGCGCGTTTTACAACTATTTCTATATTAAAGAATTTAATCTATCCTATAAATAACCGGAATATTCGCGTATTTTACAATAATTAACCGTTTATATCCCTATTTATATAGCGGCGTTTTATTAGCGAACGGTATTAATATATTAACTGAAGCGGTAGCGTATATAGAATAATTGAAGAATTTAGAAATTTTAGAATCGATAATATAACGTTAATACCCTCAAATACTACGTCCCTACTTATTTATTCCCTCTTTTTTTCCTACTTTTAGTCTTATTTCTATTCCTATATTTATTCTTAATCTTAATAGTTTCTCTCGTCCTCTCCCTATAGTCTTTACCAACCCTAATATTATTTGTTATTATTATAATTAATTTAAATATACGTACGGTTAATACCGGGTAATAAAGCCGCGTAGTATTTACTATAAATATAATAAATCTAGACATACAGCGTTTTCTTATACTAAATATATTTATTATAATTATAGTAAATTAGGGTATATATTATATTAATACCTTATTCCCCGTAGTACCCTAATTAAAAGTATAAATACTAAGCTGGTAATATTAGTAAGAACCGTAATTACCTTAATCTAGGGAAGCGTAAGTATATTATAATTATATTTAAATACAAAATTATTAATAAAAATATATAGAAGTTAGCAAAAAACTTATAGCTTAATAAATTCTAGCGCGGAATTAAACTTTATTAGAAAGTATTTACTCCCGTCGGACGCTAAAATAGAACTTATAAATTACCCTCTTATCAATTTCTCTCTTTAATTCATTCCCGTACGTAGTTCGATTATTTATTTTATTAAAATATATAATTCCTACAATATTAAATGGAAGAAAAGGATTATATTTATAATTATTAATTCCCTTAGTATAAAGGTTATCTTTAATTACCCTTAATTATACGATTATAATTTTAAAATCAATTAGCGTTAGAAGAAATTCTAGTTTCGAATTAAAGTATAAAACTTACTGACCAAAAATATCTATAAAGTTACAATATTTTTCTATAGTCCGCGATAGGATTTAATCCCTATTTTAGATCCGAAAGAAATATTAAAATCTATTAATAATTTTAACCCCCTACCGTATTCGACCATCCCTTTCGAAATTCTCCTATCCTTATACATAGAATTTTTAACCCTACTAAATATTCCGGATTCTTCTAATACTCCTTCTAATATATTTACTTCCATATCCTTTAATATATCCCCGAATGAATTTTTTAAAAATTTTAAAGTTATATTGAACGGAATTTATTTACTATTAAAACCCTTATTAGAATTAATAATTCCGAAACTACTTATTGCCGAACCCGAGGAAGAAAAAATGGTCGCCGCCGAACTGATAATCCTTCTAAAATACAAAGAATTTTAATAAATATTTAAAGCGTCGACTATAGCCCTATTATAATACGACTACTTAGAATATTATATTAATTTAATCGAAGGAGAGTCCGCTCTTCAGGGCCCTATTTATATATTTAAAATTAAAGAATTAGAAATATTCTAGGAATAGTTAGCGGAAGCGTTGTATAAAGGATAAATTCGTCCGTTTCTTAATTTAGTAAGGGGTCTTATCATTTTTATTTTAAAGAAGGGAGGTAAATTGAAATTGTATATTAATTACTATATATTTAATAAAGTAACGAAGAAGAACCGTATAGCGTTGCTTCTTATTTAGGAAATTTTAAATTAATTATCGTCGGTAAAAACTTTTATAAAATTAAATTTAAAGGATATATATTATTGTATTCAGATTAAATAGGGAAATAAAGAGAAGACAGCGTTTCGTACGAAGTACCGGCACTATAAATTTTTAATTATATTAATAGGATTAATTAATACTCTTACTACTTTCTAAACGTATATTAATAATACGCTAATGGATTTAATTAAGAGAAACTCTACTCGTACGGCCATGTTTCTCTATTCGGACCGTACTCCACTTTTTCCTCACTTCTAACCCTAACCCTGCAGTCGCGCATTAACCCCGCCTCAAATTCCAGCGCTTTCGCATTCCCGACAAGGCATTCGCACCACCAAATAGCAACATTCGCACATCATTTATATCGCAGGTCAATTGCAGGCGCTGTCGCATGTCGATTTCTATCGCATATCAATTTTTTCCATCATTTCAATCACTTTCAAGGAAGAGATGCCTTATCGAGCATGGAGTACCCTATATAAGGTTGGAATGCGCTGTTCGGGGTTGTGAATGCCCTGTCGGGAATGCGAATGCACTACTGGGAGCTGCGAATGCCCTGTCGGGAATACGACACTTTTAATTGGTCGGTCCGGGTGGGGTACGGTACGAATAGAGAAACATAGCCGTACGAGTAGAGTTTCTCTTAATTAATATTATTTATATCGCTTACCTTAATAATATTATATTTATTGTAAAAATAAAGAAGATTATTGTAAATACATTAAAAAAGTTTTCTAACGTTTATACGAACGTAATTTATATATTAATTTAAATAAGTACGAATTTTATACTAAGAGGATTTCGTTTTTAAGTTATATAATTTCGCCCGAAGGTATTTCGATAAATTTAGAGAGGGTCGTAGCGATTATAGATTAGGAAGCCTTAAAAAATATTTATAATATCTAAATTTTTTTAGGGTTTATAAAATTCTATTGATAGTTTATAACGTTTTACTTTAAAATTACAACTCTATTAACGGATTTATTAAAGGGAAAAAAATAGAAACTATTCGAATTATCGGAACTAGCTAAAGTAATATTCGAAGAGTTAAAACGGTTATTCTAAAAAATACTAATATTTATAATACTTTAATCCTTCCTTACTAATCCGAATAGAAATAAATACGTTTAATTTCGTAATTAGCGTAGTATTAACGTAATTATATAAAATGCGTTAATACTTTATTATATTCTTTTTTTATAAGAAGTTTCCGGAGGAAATATACTATAATATTAGCGAAGGCGAATTATTAGTGATTATAAGCGCGTTAAAAATATAGAAGTAATATTTATTATATATTATTTAACCTTTCTTTATTATTACAGATTATTTAAATTTCTAACATTTTAAAAATGAAGATAGGATTAATACGTAGTAAAGTCAATAAGTATTAAAATTAGT